CCACTCACTGTACAAAAAATGGTAGCGAGAGAAAGCCCACTGGCTGGCAGTGGGAGAAGATGGAATGAGATTGATTTTGGCCAACATTCTGCAAATATTCTCATCGATGAAACATTTGATCTCAATACAGTTTTCTGTTCCCTAAACTAGAATATGTTATGAACAGAGTGGACTAAGTTTTGTAGACTTTACCCTTTGCAACAAAAAAAAATCGCGTTGTTTAGAAGGAGTGCAAAGGCGAATTGAGTTATTGCACACTTCACAAAGTAGGCGTTCCCTAACGGAAATATGCTGATGATCCTACAACGCGCCAATAGCTAGCTCGTGCTTGGCTCTGCCCACCTCCTTGATTGTTCTGCCCACTATGACTCATTTGTTCCCATTGGAAACGACAGGATGTGGTCTATCTTGGTTTACTAAAAACTCTTTGGTACAATCAGAGACTACAGTATGGTACAGTCTTTGGTACAGTTGCGATAAGGAAATTACTGCCACCTAGCGGTAAATAGATAAATAAATACAAATACCATCATAAAAAAACACAGGTAGACATTTACCTTTATAAAATAACAGGAATTGTGTTAGTAAGAGTATACACAATATCAAAGAGGTTTGCGAGCATTACTACATAGCAGTTTAGAGAAAACCTAAAATAAAAAATAGAAATAGAAATATTCCACCTCCCTCCAAAATAGAATAGTGCCAAACTATGTTACCTAAAATGTGATCGGTCACTCCACACTGACAGCGGGGTGAAGAAAGCGCAGCAGTGCGTCTTCATCCTCAGGAGACTGAAGAAATTCGGTTTGGCCCCTATAAGAACCTCACAAACTTCTACAGTTGCACCATCGAGAGCATTCTGTCAGACTGAATCTTCCCCTAGTACGGCAACTGAGAGTGGTGTGGTCAGCCCAACGCATCACCGGGGGCACACTGCCTGCCCTCCAGGACATCCACAGCACCTGCTGTCACAGGAAGGCCAAGAAGATCATCAAAGAACCCAGCCACCGAGCCACGGTCTGTTCACCCTGCTACCATCTAGAAGGCGTAGACAGTACAGGTGCATCAAAGCTGGGACAGAGAGACTGAAAAACAGCTTCTATCTCCAGGCCATCAGACTGTTAAACAGTCACCACTAGCCGGCCTCTGCCCAGTACCCTATCCTGAACCTTAGTCATGGTTACTAGCCGGCTACCACCCGGTACTCTACCCTGCAGAGACTGCTGCCCTATGTACATAGACATGGAACACTGGTCACTTTAATAATGTTTACATAATGTCTTACTCACTTCATATGTATACACTGTATTCCAGTCAAGGTTCATCCTATATAACTACTGCTGTACATACCTTTTCTATTCATATACTGTCCATACATACCAAAACATTAGGAACACTTTCCTAATATTGAGTTGCACCCCCTTTTGCCATCAGAACAGCCTCAATTCGTTGGGGCATGGACTCTATAAAGTGTCGAAAGCATTCCACAGGGATGCTGGTCCATGTTGACTCCAATGCTTCCCACGGTTGTGTCAAGTTGGCTGGATGTCCTTTGGGTGGTGGACCATTCTTGATACACATGGGAAACTGTTGAGCATGAAAAACCCAGCAGCGTTGCAGTTCTTGACACACTCAAACCAGTGTGCCTTGCACCTACTACCATACCCCGTTCAAAGGCACTTAAATCTTTTGTTTTGCCCATTCACCCTCTGAATGGCACACATACACAATCCATGTCTCAATTGTATCAAGGCTTAAAAATCCTTCTTTAACCTGCCTCCTCCCCTTAATCTACACTGATTGAAGTGGATTTAACAAGTTACATCAATAAGGGATCATAGCTTTCACCTGGATTCACCTGGCCAGTCTATGTAATGGACACTCAGTATATATACAGTACATTTATATGACATTGCTCATTCTGATATTTCTTAATTTTTAACTTTTTGGATGATGTGTGTATTGTTTTGTATTGGTAGGTTTTACCGCACTGTAGAAATACATTTTGCTGCACCTGCGATTGTCACGACTTCCTCCGAAGCTGCCTCCTCTCCTTGTTCGGGCAGGCTTCGGCGTTCGTCGTCACCGGCCTTCTAGCCACTGCCGCACCTCATCTCATCATTCCATTCCATTTGTTTTGTCTTGTTTATTACACACACCTGGTTCATATCCCCTCATCAGTACCTGTATAAGTGTTCCCTCTGCCCCCTTGTCTTTGTGTGTGATTGTTTATTATGGAGATGATTTTAGCTCGGTAGAGCTCTGTTGTGTCGCCGGGATATTTCACGCGTGTGCCTTGTTGTTTTCCATTGTGCCGTATTTCCGCACTGGAGTGTTTTACGCATTGCTGTGTTACGGAATAAAGCAGTTATTCTGTGATTTACCCTCCCACGCATCACAGCGATAACATCTGCTAATGTGTTTAAGTGTGGTGGTGGTGGTGGTGGGGTGGGGTGGGGTGGGGTGTGGGGGGGGGGGGTATGCCTAATATATTGTGATATTTTACAAAACATTTGCTTTTACAGCTTCACCTGTTAACAACATTGAAATACCACAACGAAATATCCATACATTCCACAGCCTAACACAACCCAATGCAATATTAAGCGCATTATTAACTTGTTATTTGAATGAATCCCAAACAAGAACGCTCACATATACAAAGCGGATGTTTTATTTAAATGGTGCAACATGAAGCAATCACCACTGGTGGCATTTATTCATGTAAATATAACGCCCATTACATCCATATCATCATTGTAAATGAAGTTACCATATCACAAGTGGGCATTTCAAATACATTTGTGGCCTTTACGTTCATCCTTGGAGCTTAGAAAATGTGCTAAAATACCAAATGTTTCAGTACTGTTCATTGGCTAAAGGGTATTTGCAATACAGAGCTATCATATGTGCATTTCTGCAATCGTAGGAAATCTATGGCAGACCCCCCCATGTAGGTGGCTGTAAAAAAGCATAATTTTATTATTTTCTATTACATAGACAAAGGTATTCCTGTCCTGTGTTTTAAATGACAAATGACCAATGAACCTCTTAAACCAAACAAAAACATACTGTGATCGCTTCAAGTGTATACACTGTAGACTACAACGACGATAGTCTACTTATTAGGAGGGCAGTTGACGTTGAACTGACCGATACCAAGGAAGCTTGACAATCCCTATTTCTCAAGAGTTATAATATGAAGTCTTTAATGTATCCATCAATGGCATGAAACATCTGACAGGACAGAGATGAGTAAAAACAACTCTGCAGCTACATGGAGATGGGAGCTCAGACAAAAATCCTTTCATGTGGTTTTTATTTTATCATGTAATAGATTAAACCATGTGTGCCCTGACACTGAAAAACATGTAGGATATCAAACATACTGTATCGTAGCAAACATGAAGTTTGATTCACGCAGTCATTAATTATGTAATATTAAAATAGTAACACAATCATGTTATAGCATTAACATCATCCACTGAAACAGTTGATGCAGTCTAATCATGAATGTGCAAAGTGTGTCCGAATGATTTCTGATTCGATTTCTAATAAGATCCTGAGTGTATTTGTGTGTTAGCAGCACTAGATATATCGGAGTGAAAAGTTATGGTCTACATGTATTACTGTGCAGTAAGAAGTTTTACAAACAAACAAACTCTATTTACCTTGACTAGCCTTCAGCCAATCCCGTGGAGGGAGCAACTCTGAAAGCACTCTAGCTAGTCATATTGAATCAACGTGAGCATAATAAGTAAGGTGAGCATCACTGTTAAAACAACCATTCTTAACACAGAACAGCGGTGTGTTTCAACATGAACCACTGTACGTTTCTATGTAACCCATTGAGACCCAGTCCAAATGAAGCAGGTACAATGTTCAACCTCCTCTGAATCCGACAGATCCACCTGCCTTTTCTCTCTACAACATCTCCCAACTAAGAACATTTCACTGACCCACACCTACACTAACCGTACTACTATCCTGCTACCAGTGTCAGTGTGCTGGATATGTAAGTCAAACCAGCTATTCACCACTACTGACAGTATTAGTGCAGTATCTAGGTCTATACCAGTCCACTACCCGATCCATTCTACATGCCTCACATTGTCAAACCTTTCCTCCCTTGGATTTTACCTAGTCTTTTTTCTAGATTTTACCAGAGATTTACATTTCAATCCCCACATGTTGTTAAAGTCCAATAAAATTAAGACAAAATAGAAAATAAGACATCAACTGTCAATAACTTTAAAATTAAGTTAGGAAATACAGAATCATGCTTTTATGCCAAATGTAATTGTGCTGAATAGTGCGTACATCGACCTCATTCAACATATAATCACTTTACTATGCCCTGTGCATCAGGTCATACATAGAGTCTTGAATGGAGTCCATCAGATTTCATCACAGTTTATGACACTGAAGTACGGATGCCATAAGAGGAACTCAAAGTCACACATTTTCAGTCTTTCCTGTTCGCACCATTTAAAGTCTTATAAAATGAAGCCCATCAGAAATCCTGCTCTGGCCTGCAGTAACACAGGACAACCTGTAGGTGGCAGTGATATCAAAACACAAGTGTTTGTTTGGACCAGAAGTAACGCTAGGCAGTGTGAGGTCCTCCTGCATTGGATGAAAATGTGTGTGTGTGTGTCCTCTCTCTCGGTTGTTGTGAAGGTGAGCTCCAGGTGAGGTCCATGCCGACCTACCCTTGCTTGGTGTTCCCCCACAAGGAGCCTCTTCTTAGGCTAAGGAAGGAGAGACAAGAGGCAACAGCTCCTGGACATCCAGAGGTTCTCCCCTGGTGGCAGTACATCTCAGCATCAGGGGTCCTTGCATTGTTTATTTTTTTGTTTTTGTTTTTAAGTATTCTAAAAAGCAGCATTCAAATCAGTAAATTGTGGAAGACAGCACTGTTTCCTTTTGGAATCAAATGTCTCTGTTTATTGCTCTCTTTCTCTGTCAGGCCAGTCCAGTCCTGGGCTGGGGGGCTGTCAGGCAGCTCTCTCCTCCAGGGTGGGCTTGTTGCTGCCGATGGGCTGGGCGTACACATTCTTAGTGTCACTATCCACACTCTGGAAGTAGGGGTGGGTCAGAGCAGCAAACGCTGATATCCTTCTGGAGGGATTGAACGCCAGGAATTGCTGTATGGAGAAAGATCAAACAAATATTATTATTATAACATTTTCCTTAACAAAAAGAAAAGTGCGAGTTTAATTCCCTTCGGACAAATCAATTTGCAACAGTATGTACTGTATTTTGAGTGTGTCTGATACTCACCAGTAAAAGGGATTTCCCCATCTCGTCCATGTCAGGGACAAGTTCTCCGATTGGCTGAGGGGGTCGTGGGGAGAAGGCGCTCTGTGGTAGGGCTACTTCCTGGGGCCAGTCCTCCACCGAGGGAACCCCGACCACACTGAAGGATCATCATTATCATCATCACTATTTTTGTCGTCATCATTACCGTCATCATCATAATCACAATCCTCTTTATTTGTCAATTGATTGTTAACTGTAAATATGACGTAGAACATGGTACTTACTCTAAAATCTTGCCCAGCTGATCAACATCTGAGCTTCCTCGAAACAAAGGCCTGAGAGAGGAAGAGCACATGTCAATATAACTGAAGTTTAAGTAACAAACTGTGTTCAATGAATCAGATAAATTAGTTTAAAAAAAAGAAATCCCCAGGTCAAATTCATACATTCTAATTTGTCCTTCATAAATCCATGGGAGCTGTGGTAGTGATGCAGGTAGCCTTTATGCTGTCTCCATCTCCTCAACACAAATATGACCCATTCCTACTGAGCTGGACAGGCAGACATCATCCATAACGGACATACCCATTCCACCCCTCACTCGGTTCTACTGTAAATAATTGGCTTTCCTGGATGTTGAGACCAAGTTCAAGTTTTTTTGTCACATGCACAAGTACAGTGAAATGCTTAACTTGCATGCTCTATCCAACAGTGCAGTAATCAATATCAAAATAATAACCAATAAAACATGATATATAATAAAGAAAACACGATAAATAATAAATAAGAGAGAAAGTTATATACAGGGTCAGTGCCAATACCAAATGTACAATGTGCAGGGATACTGGAGTAGTTTGAGGTATTAATAACAATACTAAACAGTATGGCATCAGTATAAGTGGTGGGTGGGTGTGTGTAAGTGTGAGGGTGTGTGTAAGTGTGAGGGTGTGTGTAAGTGTGAGGGTGTGTGTAAGAGTGTAAGTGTGGGCGTGATATACGGATATACATGTAAACTGGGCTGGTAAGTGACTGGTAGCAGGTATATATAAATACTTATGGTTATATACTAGTGGTAAATTATACATGTAAACAGGAGTAATAGTGACCAGTAGCAGGATAAATAGATTCTAATGGAGCAGACAAGAGTGTACCGAGGACTGTTTCAGCAGCACATGGGAGGAAGGCATGATCATGGCCCAGCAGAGGACTGTTTCAGCAGCACATGGGAGGAAGGCATGATCATGGCCCAGCAGAGGACTGTTTCAGCAGCACATGGGAGGAAGGCATGATCATGGCCCAGCAGAGGACTGTTTCAGCAGAACATGGGAGGAAGGCATGATCATGGCCCAGCAGAGGACTGTTTCAGCAGCACATGGGAGGAAGGCATGATCATGGCCCAGCAGAGGACTGTTTCAGCAGCACATGGGAGGAAGGCATGATCATGGCCCAGCAGAGGACTGTTTCAGCAGCACATGGGAGGAAGGCATGATCATGGCCCAGCAGAGGACTGTTTCAGCAGCACATGGGAGGAAGGCATGATCATGGCCCAGCAGAGGACTGTTTCAGCAGCACATGGGAGGAAGGCATGATCATGGCCCAGCAGAGGACTGTTTCAGCAGCACATGGGAGGAAGGCATGATCATGGCCCAGCAGAGGACTGTTTCAGCAGCACATGGGAGGAAGGCATGATCATGGCCCAGCAGCGTAAGGAGTCTGCACTGTAAAACAAAGTACTTGTTTCAACTCATTATTATTAAGTAACTGGTTCCACAGCCTTTTTTAAGTTTACTCAACTCTACCTGAAAAAAATAAATAAACGTTGTCCAAAACTTAGCTCCAACTTAAGAAAACGTAGGCAAAAATTATGTGTTTGCTTAACTTGTCGCATATGTTCATTTAACTATAAATGATTATTTAAGCGTTTAACTTACATACAATATTTAACAAACGATTACATTGTACATATTCATTTACAGTGGCTTGCGAAGGTATTCACCCCCCTTGGCATTTTTCCTATTTTTTGCCTTACAACCTGGAATTAAAATGGATGTTTTGGGGGGTTTGTATCATTTGATTTACACAACATGCCTACCACTTTGTAGATGCAAAATATTTTTTCTAGCAAAACAAACAAGAAATAAGACCAAAAAACAGAAAACTTGAGCGTGCATAACTATTCACCCCCCAAAAGTCAATACTTTGTAGAGCCACCGTTTGCAGCAATTACAGCTGCAAGTCTCTTGGGATATGTCTCTATAAGCTTGGCACATCTAGCCACTGGGATTTTTGCCCATTCTTCAAGGCAAACTGCTCCAACTCCTTCAAGTTGGATGGGTTCCGCTGGTGTACAGCAATCTTTAAGTCATACCACAGATTCTCAATTGGATTGAGGTCTGGGCTTTGACTAGGCCATTCCAAGACATTTAAATGTTTCCCCTTAAACCACTCAAGTGTTGCTTTAGCAGTATGCTTAGGGTCATTGTCCTGCTGGAAGGTGAACCTCCATCCCAGTCTCAAATCTCTGGAAGACTGAAACAGGTTTCCCTCAAGAATTTCCCTGTATTTACCTGTATCATTCCTTCAATTCTGACCAGTTTCCCAGTCCCTGCCGATGAGAAACATCCCGACAGCATGATGCTTCCACCACCATGCTTCACTGTGGGAATAGTGTTCTCGGGGTGATAAGAGGTGTTGGGTTTGCAAAAGACATAGCGTTTTCTATGATGACGTAAATGTAAATGTTTTCCTTGATGGCCAAAAAGCTCAATTTTAGTCTCATCTGACCAGAGTACCTTCTTCCATATGTTTGGGGAATCTCCCACCTGCCTTTTGGCGAACACCAAATGTGTTTGCTTATTTTTTTCTTTGAGCAATGGCTTTTTTCTGGCCACTCTTCCGTAAAGCCCAGCTCTGTGGAGTGTACAGCTTAAAGTGTTCATATGGACAGATACTCCAATCTCCGCTGTGGAGCTTTGCAGCTCCTTCAGAGTTATCTTTGGTTTCTTTGTTGCCTCTCTGATTAATGCCCTCCTTGCCTGGTCCGTGAGTTTTGGTGGGCGGCCCTCTCTTGGCAGGTTTGTTGTGGTGCCATTTTCTTTCCATTTTTTAATAATGGATTTAATGGTGGGATGTTCAAAGTTTCGGATATTTTTTTATAACCCAACCCTGATCTGTACTTTTCCACAACTTTGTCCCTGACCTGTTTGGAGAGCTCCTTGGTCTTCATGGTGCTGCTTGCTTGGTGGTGCCCCTTGCTTAGTGGTGTTGCAGACTCTGGGGCCTTTCAGAACAAGTGTATATATACTGAGATCATGTGACACTTAGATTGCACACAGGTGGACTTTATTTAACTAATTATGTGACTTCTGAAGGTAATTGGTTGCACCAGATCTTATTTAGGTGCTTCATAGCAAAGGGGGTGAATACATATGCACGCACCAGCTTTCCGTTATTTATTTAGTATAATTTTTTGAAACAAGTAATTTTTTTTTCATTTCACTTCACCAATTTGGACTATTTTGTGTATGTCCATTACATGAAATCCAAATAAAAATCTATTTAATTACAGGTTGTAATGCAACAAAATAGGAAAAACGCCAAAAGGAGATTAATACTTTTGCACAGAATACAGTAATTATTATTCAACATGTCCTCACTTGGGATTTGAACTCACAACCTCTTGGTTCATGGTATTTTGATCTTCCTGCAATGCCACCATGTCTGTGTCAATTATCAGTTCATCTGACTATTCTCTCATCAATTATTTGATTTACTTCGGTTTTTCTGTATAGTTGTCTAATGTTGATGAGGCATATTACTATTTTAATGTTACTCCTTAATCACTATGATAAATACAATAGTTTTTGTTGAGTTTACTTTTAACAGAGCTGAGATTTACTTTGAAGTGCAAAGTGTAGCAATAAAGGTGAAATCAGTTATTGACACAGACATGGAGGCGTAGTAGGAAGATTGGAATGCTGTGAACCAAGAGGTTGAGAGTTCAAATCCTAGGTGAGGACATGTTAATTACTGTATAAATGAACATGCACAAAGTAATCATGTACAGTGTGTCAAATATGTAAGTTGAAAACATAGCATGTTAAAAGCACTGTGTGTGTGTGTGTGACTTGTTCTGCAGCCGTTTGTTTAAAGATAAGATGCCCAGATAGTTTCTAGTTGAATAAACATGAGACAATTTGAGCAAATGCATAATTTTAAGTTGACTGAATTTTTGCCTACGTTTGCTCAAGTTGGAGCTAAGTTTGGGCCAACATTTGTTTTTACCGTGTGTGAGAAGATGGAGGGAGGAGGTGGAGAGAGGCTGAGGATGAAGGGAAAGAGCAGGCCTGCTGGTGGTTCCTGTGGCTTTGGGCCGTCCTGGCCGGCCGTGGGCGGGCATGCTTCCCCTGGCACCCACACAAATTCCAACAGTCTTCATCAGCACATACAGGCCTGCTCTCAACTCAAACGACCGTTGCTCCCAACCAAGCAACGGGTAGAAAAAAGCCTATTTATCCCTCAGCCTCATGTGTGTCTGCCTTAGCTCTCTGTGGGCCTTGTGGTGTGTGTGTGTGTGTGTGTGTGTGTGCGTGTGTGTGTAGTGGTGGGTAGGGGGAGGGCGAGCAGTGCTGTACCATGTGAAAGAACGGTTGAATTATTCTAACAGAGACTAGCTGGGAGAGCAATATAAACCTTCAAAGAGGCAAATAATCTCTCTGTTGTGAGAGAATGTGCTCAGAGGCACTTCACTTCTCATGTGCTATCATGCAATGACTGACAAAATAACACACAGTACCACTGCAAACGTAGTTCTTTAACAGTAATTACACATTAGCAAGTAATGACTGCATTGCTCCTTGGGATCATTGAGCGAGAGAATGAGTGAGAGAGATGGAGAGAGAAAGAGAGATAGAGAGAGATGGGGAGAGAGAGATGGGGGGAGAGAGATGGGGGGAGAGAGAGAGGGGAGAGAGAGAGCGGGGGAGAGAGGGATAGAGTACGCTGTATGTCAGTGTATTGCAGCATCTTGTGAAATGAGGTAGTGACAGTGTAGTTATTGCTGTACTCTGTAGCTATAGTACTTCACTGAACAGAAAAACTAAGCAGTAACTATGTACTGGCTGCATTTTTCCCTGCTGTAATCTTTGCATTGTTGAACACCCACATTTCCCCTACATGCTAAGACTTTGAAGATTAGACACAGGCAGAAAGACCTGATGGTAGTTTGCACATTTTACAGTGACAGCAATTATTTTGTCACACACTTTGACAGGTTAAGGGTGCTCCATAGCAGGTTATACAAACCTAGCAGCTACAATGGTGGAACTGAACTCTGCCCTATTTCACCAAGTAGATGCCTTCCTGACCAATACACCCCCTCTAACCACACTTACCTCAATGGCTCACTACACTAGTATTCCTGTATACTGTTACTGTAAGGCATCAAGAAATACTTGGTGGGCATGTTGAGAGTCTGAGGTTTGAACCATAAAGATCAGACCAAATCAGTTCTCTGCCTTTAGATGGAAAACATCACCTAAAACAACGTCATCATGCCAAAACAAGTATGACAGATATTTCCAAGAGGTCCATTTTTAAACCAGGAGTGGTTTGTTGGTTTGAATGGATGACTGGCTTCTCACAGGACTGACACACGGGCGCACACACGCACACTTATAAAATGAAGTAAGGACTGTATGAGGATGTTTTAGGATTTCTGCTGCCACCATGACGTATCGGTCAGAATGCAATAAGGAAGTGGAGATGAGGAATACAGCATTATGGGTATTTATTACACACACAGGAATATGGGGAAAGGGTTTGGAAAGAGGTGAATATGGAGGTAAGGAGAAAGGATTGGATGTGGCGGTCTGGAAGATACAAAAGGGAAACATTAGGAACACTTTACATAAAGATGCAGACATGACAAGGTAGTGTCAGGTGACTATGGGAAGAAAATGGCCTTAACATAATTACACAGTTAGGAGACTGCCAGGACTAGACAAGGAGATGTTAGAGGGGTAGGACTGGGCCAACCAATCTGTCCCACATTCCACACAACCTCTGGAATGTGTATGTGCCTGTCTGTGTGTGTGGGAGAGTGATATTATGTGTGTCTGTGAGTGAAATCCGCATGAGGTTATGTCTTTGAGAGGTTTGTCAATGTGCCAGTGCACTATGAGAAAGTAAAGAAGGCTGTGAGTGTCCTCCTGCGTTGACGGCATTAACATAACATGTCCAACCTTTAGATTAGCGGAATGTCAACACCTCTCTCTGTGTCATTCGCAGCTCAGTGACTTTTCCATCTAAACCATGCAGATGCAGTCTTGCATGATATTTGCTTCAAATTCCTGAGACAAATTGTACTTATAGCTTGTCAGTCAGTGTGAAACTGGATTTTTCTTTCTTCAAAAAGCGATGAATAAAAGTTTGAAGTATTTGGGGGAAAACCTTTGATGAAGGGAGTGAGTCAACAGTGTGAAACTGGGGCCTGGGGACTTCTCTGTCTACTACAGTTGAGTAATGGTAGTGGAGGACAACTGTCAACAGTATGCCATCAAAAAGAACATACAATTTGACATACCAATTAGGATCTGGCTAAAAATACTTGAATCAGTTATATAACCCATTGCCCTTTATGGTTGTGAGGTCTGGGGTCCGCTCACCAACCAACAATTTACAAAATGGGACAAACACCAAATTTCTTAATATTGTGCAGTTCCTTTGGCTTTGATGAAATCAAATCAAATTTTATTTGCCACATGCGCCGAATACCACAGGTGTAGACATTACCATGAAATGCTTACTTACAGCCCTTAACCAACAATGCATTTATTTCTTAATAAAAAAGTAAAATAAAACAACAACAACAAAAAAGTGTTGAGAAAAAAAGAGCAGAAGTAAAATAAAATAACAGTAGGGAGGCTATATATACAGGGGGTACCGGTGCAGAGTCAATGTGCGGGGGCACCGGCTAGTTGAGGTAGAGTTAAAGTGACTATGCATACATAATTAACAGAGTAGCATCAGCGTAAAAAGATGGGGTGGGGGTGCAAATAGTCCAGGTAGCCATGATTAGCTGTTCAGGAGTCTTATGGCTTGGGGGTAGAAGCTGTTGAGAAGCCTTTTGGACCTAGACTTGGCTCTCCGGTACTGCTTACCGTGCACTAGCAGAGAGAACAGTCTATGACTAGGGTGGCTGGAGTCTTTCACAATTTGTTGGGCTTTCCTCTGACACCGCCTAGTATAATATATATATATATAGTGAGTGAAAAAAGTATTTGATCCCCTGCTGATTTTGTACGTTTGCCCACTGACAAAGATCAGTCTATAATTTTAATGGTAGGTTTATTTGAACAGTGAGAGACAGAATAACAACAACAAAATCCAGAAAAACGCATGTCAAAAATGTTATAAATTGATTTGCATTTTAATGAGGGAAATAAGTATTTGATCCCCTCTCAATCAGAAAGATTTCTGGCTCCCAGGCGTCTTTTATACAGGTAACGAGCTGATATTAGGAGCACACTCTTAAATGGAGTGCTCCTAATCTCAGCTTGTTACCTGTATAAAAGACACCTGTCAACAGAAGCAATCAATCAATCAGATTCCAAACTCTCCACCATGGCCAAGACCAAAGAGCTCTCCAACGATGTCAGGGACAAGATTGTAGACCTACACAAGGCTGGAATGGGCTACAAGACCATCGCCAAGCAGCTCGGTGAGAAGGTGACAACAGTTGGTGCGATTATTCACAAATGGAAGAAACACAAAAGAACTGTCAATCTCCCTCGGCCTGGGGCTCCATGCAAGATTTCACCTCGTGGAGTTGCAATGATCATGAGAACAGTGAGGAATCAGCCCAGAACTACACGGGAGGATCTTGTCAATGATCTCAAGGCTGCTGGGACCATAATCACCAAGAAAACAATTGGTAACACACTACGCCGTGAAGGACTGAAATCCTGCAGCGCCCGCAAGGTCACCCTGCTCAAGAAAGCACATATACAGGACCGTCTGAAGTTTGCCAATGAACATCTGAATGATTCAGAGGAGAACTAGGTGAAAGTGTTGTGGTCAGATGAGACCAAAATCTAGCTCTTTGGCATCAACTCAACTCGCCGTGTTTGGAGGAGGAGGAATGCTGCCTAAGACCCCAAGAGGGGTGTTTTTCTGCTAAGGGGACAGGACAACTTCACCGCATCAAAGGGACGATGGACGTGGCCATGTACCGTCAAATCTTGGGTGAGAACCTCCTTCCCTCAGCCAGGGCACTGAAAATGGGTCATGGATGGGTATTCCAGCATGACAGTGACCCAAAACACACAGTCAAGGCAACAAAGGAGTGGCTCAAGAAGAAGCACATTAAGGTCCTGGAGTGGCCTAGCCAGTCTCCAGACCTTAATCCTATAGAAAATCTGTGGAGGGAGCTGAAGGTTCGAGTTGCCAAACGTCAGCCTCGAAACCTTAATGACTTGGAGAAGATCTGCAAAGAGGAGTGGAACAAAATCCCTCCTGAGATGTGTGCAAACCTGGTGACCTGGTATCTCTCACTGTTCAAATAAACCTACCATTAAAATTATAGACTGATCATGTCTTTGTCAGTGGGCAAACGTAAAAAATCAGCAGGGGATCAAATACTTTTTTCCCTCACTGTATATATATATATATATATATATATATATATATATATATATATATATATGGCCCCAGTGATGTACTGGGCCGTACGCACTACCCTCTGTAGCGCCTTATGGTCAGATGCCGAGCAGTTGCCATACCAGGCGGTGATGCAACCGGTCAGGATGCTCTCGATGGTGCAGCTGTATACATTTTTGAGGATCTGGGGACCCATGCTAAATCTTTTCAGTCTCCTGAGGGGGAAAAGGTGTTGTCGTGCCCTCTTCACGATTGTCTTGGTGTGTTTGGACCATGATAGTTTGTTGGTGATGTGGACACCAAGGAACTTGAAACTCTCGACCCGCTCCACTACAGCCCCATCGATGTTATTGGGGGCCTGTTCGGCCCGCCTTTTCCTGTAATCCATGATCAGCTCCTTTGTCTTGGTCACATTGAGGGAGAGGTTGTTGTCCTGGCACCACGCTGCCAGGTCTCTGACCTCCTCCCTATAGGCTGTCTCATCGTTGTCGGTGATCAGGCCTACCACTGTTGTGTTGTCAGCAAACGTAATGATGGTGTTGGAGTCGTGTTTGGCCACACAGTCGTAGGTGAACAGGGAGTATAGGAGGGGACTAACCACGCACCCCTAAGGGGCCTCAGTGTTGAGGATCAGCGTGGCAGATATGTTGTTGCCTACCCTTACCACCTGATGGCGGCCCGTCAGGAAGTCCAGGATCCAGTTGCAGAGGGAGGTGTTTAGTCCCAGGCTCCTTAGCTTAATGATGAGCTTTGTGGGCACTATGGTGTTGAACGCTGAGCTGTCCAAAATCAAGTTTTTAAGTATGGAAAAAATCCAAGTTTATCTATATTTAACTATAATTCAATTTTTGGCAGAAGAACTCAGGAGCCCATGAGCTCATGTTCTCTCTCTCTCTGACTCAGTCAGAGGCAGTTCCCAGGTGCCCTTTAATCTGTAACAGTTGGCCTTTAAAACAGCCACCTTAATCACCTGCAGGATAGACAGAGTGAGAGAGAGAGAGAGAGAGCGAGAGAGACTGAGGGGTGCTGTTCATAGACATCAAAGGTCCTACCGTCTACCTCCAGGCAGAGTTGGCCAGGAGCCAGGTCCTACCGTCTACCTCCAGGCAGAGTTGGCCAGGAGCCAGGTCCTGAACACACATGCTTTTACAGCTCATTGTGTCACAGGGAGACTCCCACCTAGCCTCTACTGTCTTCACTCAGACACACGCAACGCATGCACCAACACACACACACACACACACACACACACACACACACACACACACACACACACACACACGCACACACGGTAGGTGTGTTAGTGCGCCAGTTGGAGTGTCATTACGGGTTGGTTAGCAGAATAGTGTGAAAAGAGCCATAGGTGTGTTAGTATAGTGGGATGTGGACATCCATAGTTAGAGTAGCATTGTGAGAACACTCATTGATATGTTAGTAAGGTACTGTGAGGAAAGGCCTACGTCCCAAATGTCACCCTATTCCTCCCATAGGGCTCTGGTTAAAAGTAGTGTACTATATATGGAATAGGGTGCCATTTGGGACACATCCAAGGTTAAGCCATGGGTGGGTGTAGTTAAACCTACCAACCTACTGTCAAACCACGATAGACCTTTATGTTTTTGGTGCCAAAAAAGACCTAATGCCAACAGTTAAATGTCATAAAGTAATTACATACAAACCAAGCAGACTATAACCTCACCAGAAATTTCCCAGGTGAAGGTTTAACCTACAACAGTACATTTCTTCCAGGTCATTAAATGGATCATATATCTTTTTATGCTCCCTTCATAACCCTCCTGACCACAACTTGGGGCTCTGAGCCCCCCCCCGATAGCATATGAACAGGTCATAATCCATGGAAAAAATGTTTTCAAATAAAGATTTGCTGTAAAACTGCAAACGTTTCTCTCAGCCTCATGGCAAAATGTGTAGAATAGCATGAGATTAGCTATAAAACTGCACATTTTTATCTCAGCCTCATGGCAAAATGTGAAGAATTGTAGGAAGTCGCAGGGGCCCTGCGAAACTGTGGTATGCCACCGGTGCACGTACGCAAGCACAGAGACAGGATATCGTCATCCCAAGACAGAGATCTGTCCTCTCCTCCATCCCATCTGTCCATCCGTCCGTCCTCAGCGTCCTGCCTGTGACATCAGTGTTATGGGAAAACACAGCCCTTCACATCCTCTCCAGGACAATGGGGAATAATCAGCCATGGTCTGTGTCATCGAGCTACAGCAGGAAAATCAACACACACAAACGTACTGTACAAACACACATACTGTACAAAACACACAGGCCACACACATGCAAAACACATACACACAATAATGAACGGACACACACACACACCTGTGGTGTATCCGTCGTTAGTGAGAGGGGGAGACGTGCGTCTCGCTGTAAGGACGGACGGTTGGGAAAGGAAACAAATTACAGACAGATCCCTCCCCGTTGGCACCGCTCCCAAACCACAACAGCGACGGTGTCCCAAATGGCATCCTATTTCCTATTTAGTGCACTACTATTGACCGCTTATCTTTTACACTCTCTCTCATGTTCATCACAAACTCAAAACAGTAGCATATACACATATTTACTTGTACTGTTTTCTACATTGTAGAATAAGACATCAAAACTATGAAATAACACATATGGAATCATGTAGTAACCAAAAAAGTGTTAAACTAATCAAAATATATTTTATATTTCAGATTCTTCAAATAGCCACCCTTTGCCTTGATGACAGCTTTGCACACTCTTGGCATTCTCTCAACCAGCTTCACCTGGAATGCTTTTCCAACAGTCTTGAAGGAGTTCTCACATATGCTGAGCACTTGTTGGCTTACTACGTTCTACGTCCGTTCCATCCTGGATTCGAGGCGTCGGGTGGGGGGCCTTCAGTACCTCGTGGAGTGGGAGGGGTATGGTCCGGAGGAGCGGTGCTGGGTTCCGGTGAGGGATATCCTCGATCCCTTCCTATTGCGGGATTTCCACCGTCGCAATCCGGCTCGCCCTGCTCCGTGTCATCCTGGCCGTCCCCGAGGCCGGTGTTGGCACGCTGCTGGAGCTGCGCGTCAAGGGGGGGGTACTGTCACGACTTCCTCCGAAGCTGCCTCCTCTCCTTGTTCGGGCAGGCTTCGGCGTTCGTCGTCACCGGCCTTCTAGCCACTGACGCTCCTCATGTATTTGCGGAATAAAGCCTGTTATTCTGTGATTTACCCTCCTGCGCCTGACTACTTCGACATCACCTCATCACAGTTACTACATGATTCCATATGTGTTATTTCATAGTTTTGATGTCTTTACTATTATTCTACAATGTAGAAAATAGTAAAAATAAAGAAAAACCCTTGAATGAGTAGGTGTTCTAAACTTTTGACTGGTACTGTATGTAAACCCTATAGAAGAGAAATCTACAGTTGAAGTCGGAAGTTTACATACACCTTAGCCAAATACATTTAAACTCAGTTTTTTTTTTTTTACAATTTCTGACATTTAATCCTAGTAAAAAATCCCTGTTTTAGGTCAGTTAGGATCACCACTTTATTTTAAGAACGTGAAATGTCAGAATAATAGTAGAGAGAATTATTTATTTCAGCTTTTAATTATTTCATCACATTCCCAGTGGGTCAGAAGTTTACATACACTCAATTAGTATTTGGTAGCATTTAAATTGTTTAACTTGGGTCAAACGTTTCGGGTAGCCTTCCACAAGCTTCCCACAATAAGTTGGGTGAATGTTGGCCCATTCCTCCTGACAGAGCTGGTGTAACTGAGTCAGGTTTGTAAGCCTCCTTGCTCGCACACGCTTTTTCAGTTCTGCCCACACATTTTCTATAGGATTGAGGTCAAGGCTTTGTGATGGCCACTCCAATACCTTGACTTTGTTGTACTTAAGCCATTTTGCCACAACTTTGGAAGTATGCTTGGGGTCATTGTCCATTTGGAAGACCCATTTGCCACCAAGCTTTAACTTCCTGACTGATGTCTTGAGATGTTGCTTCAATATATCCACATAATTTTCCTTCCTCATGATGCCATCTATTTTGTGATGTGCACCAGTCCCTCCTGCAGCAAAGCACCCCCACAGCATGATGGTTCCACCCCCGTGCTTCAAGGTTGGGATGGTGTTCTTTGGCTTGCAAGTCCCCCCTTTTTCCTCCAAACATAACGATGGTCATTATGGCCAAACAGTTCTATTTTTGTTTCATCAGACCAGAGGACATTTCTCCAAAAAGTAAGATCTTTGTCCCCATGTGCAGTTGCAAACCGTAGTCTGGCTTTTTATGGCGGTTTTGGAGCAGTGGCTTCTTCCTTGCTGAGTGGCCTTTCAGGTTATGTCGATTTAGGACTCGTTTTACTGTGGATATAGATACTTTTGTACCTGTTTCCTCCAGCAACTTCACAATGTCCTTTGCTGTTGTTCTGGGATTGATTTGCACTTTTCGCACCAAAGTACATTCATCTCTAGGAGACAGAATGCGTCTCCTCCCTGAGCGGTATGACGGCTGCGTGGCCCCATGGTGTTTATAATTGCGTACCTTTGTTTGTACAGATGAACGTGGTACCTTCCAGCGTTTTGGAAATTGCTCCCAAGGATGAACCAGACTTGTGGAGGTATTTTTTCTGAGGTCTTGGCTGATTTCTTTTGATTTCCCCATGATGTCAAGCAAAGAGGCACTGAGTTTGAAGGTAGACCTTGAAATACATCCACAGGTACACCTCAAATTGACTCAAATGATGTCAATTAGCCTATTAGAAGATTCTAAAGCCATGACATCATTTTCTGGAATTTTCCAAGCTGTTTAAAGGCACAGTCAACTTAGTGTATGTAAACTTCTGACCCACTGGAATTGTGATACAGTGAAATATAAGTGATTAATAAGTTAAATAATCTGTCTGTAAACAATTGTTGGAAACATGACTTGTGTCATGCACGAAGTAGATGTCCTAACTGACTTGCCAAAACTATAGTTTGTTAACAAGAAATTTGTGGAGTGGTTGAAAAACTAGTTTTAATGACTCCAACTTAAGTGTATGTAAACTTCCGACTTCAACTGTACATTGTATTACAGTAAGAGGCTGCAACTTGACTCTTTATTGTTGCATGTATTTTTCTGATGTGAGGGAGGATTGATTAACAGCTTGGGATTTCAGTAGAAGAAGTACGTTACACCACAAACTGACAAATACCTATATCAAGAAACTGAATCCTCTGTTGCCTGCAACCACAGCCAACTGTGGAGGAATTTTATTACGGTTTGATAACCAAACTGACAAAAAATATAACACCAGTAGAAATCATATTTCCAGGTAGCAGCAAGGGACAGTCAATATTTGTGAGGAAACCCCCAAGTCGACTAATTCCATGAAAAACATACAGCTGTTGGAGTTTTCATATAACTCGTAAATGAACTATCCGTTACCTTTCAAACTTTATATATAATGCCTTACCATCACATTGTCTCTTTACTTTTATGAATGTTTCTGTCAAGAACAGGACAGCTTGAGAATCAACATCATAATTTTTGCGTACATTTTACTTTTCCAGTTTTATGAAATCACTGCACTAGGTCTGGAGAGCAACATTACAAAAAGTGCCCATGGGTTTCTGTACCTGTGGTCAGAGGTACACTACATGGTCAAAAGTATGTGGACACCTGCTCGTCGAACATTAATATGGAGTTGGTCTACCCTTTGCTGCTATAACAGCCTCCACTCTTCTGGGAAGGCTTTCCACTAGATGTTGGAACATTGCTGCAGGGACTTGCTTCGATTAGGCCTGGCTCGCAGTGTGTGTTCCAATTCCTCCCAAAGGTGTTTGATGGGGTTGAGGTCAGGGGTCTGTGCAGGCCAGTCAAGTTCTTCCACACCGATCTCGACAAACCATTTCTGTATGGACCTCACTTTGTGCACAGGGGCATTGTCATGCTGAAACAGGAAAGGGCCTTCCCTAAACCGTTGCCCAAAGTTGGAAGCACAGAATTGTCTAGAATGTCATTGTATGCTGTAGCGTTAAGATTTCCCTTCACTGGAACTAAGGGGCCTAGCCCGAACCACGAAAAACAGCCCCAGACCATTATTCCTCCTCCACCAAACTTTACAGTTGGCACTATGCATTCAGGCAGGTAGCGTTCTCCTGGCATCCGCCAAACCCAGATTTGTCCGTCGGCCTGCCAGATGATGAAGCGTGATTCATCACTCAAGAGAACGTATTTCCACTGCTCCAGAGTCCAATGGTGGCGAGCTTCACACCACTCCAGCCAACGCTTGGCATTGCGCATGGTGATCTTAGGCCTATGTGAGGCTGCTCGGCCATGGAAACCCATTTTATGAAGCTCCCGACAAACAGTTATTGTGCTGACGTTGCTTCAAGAGGCAGTTTGGAACTCAGTAGTGGAGTGTTGCAACCGGGGGCCGATGACTTTTACGCACTACGCGCTTCATCACTCGGCGGTCCTGTTCTGTGAGCTTGTGTGGCCTACCACTTCGCGGCTGAGCTGTTGTTGCTCCTAGACATTTCCACTTCACAATAAAAGCACTTACAGTTGACCAGGGCAGCTCTAGCAGGCCAGAAATATGATGAACTGACTTGTTGGAAAGGTGGCATCCTATGACGGTGCCACGTTGAAAGTCACTGAGCTCTTCAGTAAGGCCATTCTACTGCCAATGTTTGTCTATGGAGATCGCATGGCTGTGTACTCGATTTTGTACACCTGTCAGCAATGGGTGTGGCTGAAATAGCCGAATCCTCTAATCTGAAAGGATGTCCACAAACTTTCGGCCCATGTAGTGTATGTGGCTTCACAATGAGACACAAGTGCGTTGCAAATGGCACCCTATTCACTACATAGTGCACTACTTTTGACCAGAGCCATATCGGCCCTGGTCGAAAGTACTGCACTATAAAGGGAATAGGGTGTCATTTGGGACACAGACTGCATGACAGGCAGGCTTGGTGAGAACAAGGCACTGGCTATGTTGTCATGGCAAAAAATAACTAGTCAGGCACATTGGTCCTGATGACTTCTGAGATATGTCTCTTCATTTAGCCTCATACACAAGGCAATGAATGAACCGCCACTAATCAATGTTACACAGGTTGTTGTGTGCTGAATGTATACATGACCTTTCTTGATGACATCTACACAAACACCAGGTTGACCATTAGAGAGTTGTGTTTACTGTCAATGGTGAATGACCTCAAATGCCACTGTTCTGTGTGTGTGCATGTGTGTTTGCTTGTGTGTGTGTGTTATCTTCGGGTGTGTCCTATTAGCTCCCAGTGCTAATGTCGCCCTAGGCTTTAGCTCAGTGGTCTAACAAGGTCTTGAGGCGGAAAGATGGTAGTATCGGAAACCCGACCCTAGGCAACAGCAGCGACTAGGGTCTGGGAATCATGACGGACTGTCTTGGTAACTTTGAAAAGGCAACAACAACAAAAAATCCAGGGAGGGTCCTCTTCAGACAGACAACTATCCCAACAAATCACGAGGCAGACATGCCTCGAAACCATAGTTTGAAGGCAAAACCTATGCAGTGGTTATAATGAAGGTAGTTGATGCAAACTAGCCACTTGCGAAATGCACTCATTAAAAATAACCTCCATGATCTTCACCTTGATAGCTACTATTTTGTTTCACGGGGATGTGGGCAGCGTAGTTGCTCTATGCCAAATTGATGTTCTGTTACGTCAGACGTTGTTAAGCTGGAGCACTGGTACATTGTCGGAAGCAACCCGTCTGTCTACAGCAGGGTTTTCCAAACTCGGTCCTCGAGACCCCAAGGGGTGCACGTTTTGGGGTCCCGAGGACCGACTTTGGGAAAAAGGGTTCCAAAAGGGTTCTTTGGATGTCCCCATAGGAGAACCCTTTTTGGTTCCCGGTAGAACCCTTTTTGGTTCTAGATAGCATTTGTCTAAGAATGTAGCAGGGGTGTCAAACTTATTCCATGGGAGGGCAGAGTGTCTGCTGGTTTCTGGTTTCTCCTTTTAATTTGTGTTCAATTAAGACCTAGACAACCAGGTGAGGGGAGTTCCTTACTAATCACTGACCTTAATTAATCAATCAAGTACAAGGGAGGAGTGAAAATCTTCAGGCACTCAGCCCTCCGTGGAATGGGTTTGACACGTGTGGTCTAGGGAGACTGAAAAGATGTCACAGATGACACAAGGTCAATGTGCAGTGTCTCCCAGTGTGTGTGTGTGTGTGTGTGTGTGTGTGTGTGTGTGTGTGTACCAGGACCACTCACCTTCTCCTGAACATCTCAGCGAAGATACAGCCCACACTCCACAGGTCAACTGGGGTGGCATAGCTGGACTGGAGCAACACCTCTGGAGCTCTGTACCACAACGTCACCACCTACAATAATAAACGCATTAATACACACATTAATACACACACATAATAGACATTCTGTAAAAACGTGCGCACACACACACACACACAAACACACCCTTCTCTTACATGTTCTTCCAATACACAGACATAAAAATGTGGCCCTCTGGTATGCATTAGGTTAGAGCCTCTACCCACAGCCTTCACCCACACTATGAAAGGAGAGGAGGAGAAGAGAAGGAGGAGAAGCTTAGACCAGAGCACTCCTGATACCTGAGACACATTCCTCTTTCCTCCCTCACAGTCCTCTCTCTTTAAGTGTTTTACCTGAGAACGCCAGATGACACACACAAACGCATGCTCACACACACACACACACACACACACACACACACACACACAGGAGGGCTAATGTTTCTGTGCCCCTGTCTCTGGGGTTACATAAGGTATGAAATCATATCTGGCAGGGCAGGTCTCTGGGAGCGCTCCCGTTTTGGTATGCCCAGATCACACAATGTTTCCATAGTGAGCCATCAGGGAACTCAGTGCTGGTCCCTGTGTGTGTGTCCATTAAAACTAGATCATCTGCCTTCACAGGATTAACATGACTGTCAAGCAGCTGTCATACTCAAACAAACCCCAGTACAACTTAGCTCTTAGAATAATACTACTACATTGTACTTATATTGCGTTTCCCCCGCGGACATCAGGTTTGAAAGTGCTTTGCAATGCTTGGGGAGGGAGTGTGGAACACCTCTTGCTCTACTAACATGTAGCAGCGCCCACTTGGGAAAAAAGCAGGCAGCCATTTTGTGCCAGAGCCAGAGCTGCTCCCCACACGTCTCCCAGATACTAACCCTATGCTTGTACTCTGCTGGTAGCTGTGTCGACTGACTGTTAGCCCACAGGAAAAGCAGCACTGTTAACAGCTACAGTAGGGAAAACCGCCAGACAAAACTCAGTGACCCCTCGCGAGAACGTGGACCGCTTCCAGGTGCTTTCCCTCTCCAGTTTTTCTTATGGCGGTCATTTGGCCCGAGGCCCCGGCAGCCGCTGCTGCTCTGTCTCTCTTTCTATCTCTCGCTCTCTCGCTCTGCTTATCGCCGTGTTAGCAAAGACCGATATTTTCCAAATGCCTTGCATGTTTGTCCAACACAGTGAGAGAATGATGAACTCTGAACAAAACTAAGCCTGCCCTGCGGTTTGGTAGCAGACCAGTTACTACAAGGTTGCATGTTCACCTTTGGCCTTGCTAATGCGGACTGTACCTTCTGGACGATGACGTCACATGAGAGTGTGTAAGTGTATGATAATTATGCAGTAGCTGTATTGAGGGTTGATTTTGGGTCAAATAATATTTTAGGGGGTAGATCAGCTTTAATATTGCAGATAGATTGTAACTTCCATCAATGTAATTGTCTGCATCAATTCCAATCCCCCATATGTTTTCTTTCTCTCGCAAATTATATATATATATATATATATATATTTTGGCAAGTCGGTTAGGACATCTACTTCGTGCATGACACAAGTAATGTTTCCAACAATTGTTTACAGACAGATTATAATTATAATTCACTGTATCACAATTCCAGTGGGTCATAAGTTTACATACACTAAGTTGACTGTGCCTTTAAACAGATTGGACAATTCCAGAAAATGATGTCATGGCTTTAGAAGCTTCTGATAGGCTAATTGACATAATTTGAGTCAATTGGAGGTGTACCTGTGGATGTAATTCAAGGCCTACCTTCAAACTCAGTGCCTCTTTGCTTGACAGCATGGGAGAATCAAAAGAAATCAGCCAAGACCTCAGGAAAAAATGTGTAGACCTCCACAAGTCTGGTTCATCCTTGGGAGCAATTTCCAAATGCCTGAAGGTACCACGTTCATCTGTACAAACAATAGTACGCAAGTATAAACACCATGGGACCACGCAGCCGTCATACCGCTCAGGAAGGAGATGCGTTCTGTCTCCTAGAGATGAACGTACCTTGGTGTGAAAAGTGCAAATCAATCCCAGAACAACAGCAAAGGACCTTGTGAAGATGCTGGAGGAAACAGGTACAAAAGTATCTATATCCACAGTAAAACGAGTCCTATATCGACATAACCTGAAAGTCTGCTCAGCAAGGAAGAAGCCACTGCTCCAAAACCGCCATTAAAAAGCCAGACTACGGTCTGCAACTGCACATGGGGACAAAGATGGTACTTTTTGGAGAAATGTCCTTATGTTTGGAGGAAAAAGGGGGTAGCTTGCAAGCCGAAGAACACCATCCCAACCGTGAAGCACGGGGGATGGCACCATCATGCTGTGGGGGTGCTTTGCTGCAGGAGGGACTTGTGCACATCATAAAATAGATGGCATCATGAGGAAGGAAAATGATGTGGATATATTGAAGCAACATCTCAAGACATCAGTCAGGAAGTTCAAGCTTGGTCGCAAATGGTTCTTCCAAATGGACAATGACCCCAAGCATACTTCCAAAGTTGTGGCAAAATGGCTTAAGGACAACAAAGTCAAGGTATTGGAGTGGCCATCACAAAGCCCTGACCTCAATGCTATAGAACATTTGTGGGCAGAACTGAAAAAGCATGTGCGAGCAAGGAGGCCTACAAACCTGACTCAATTACACCAGCTGTCAGGAGGAATGGGCCAAAATTCACCCAACTTATTGTGGGAAGCTTGTGGAAGGCTACCCGAAATGTTTGACCCAAGTTAAACAATATAAAGGCTGTCACGTTCGTTCATTGACGGGTCAGACCAAGGCGCAGCGTGATATGCGTACATGTTTATTTAAACTGAATAAACACACGACAAAACACTAAACAAACGAAACGTGAAGTCCTAAGGTTTAACACACAACAAACCTTACCCGGAACAAGATCCCACAACCCACTAGTGCCAATAGGCTGCCTAAGTATGGTCCCCAATCAGAGACAACGAGCTACAGCTGCCTCTGATTGGGAACCACACCGGCCAACATAGATCTACACATAATAGATCAAAACATAGAAAACACACAACAAAGAATATACACACCCTGACTCAACATTTAAGCGTCCCCTGAGTCAGGGCGTGACAAAGGCAATGGTACCAAATACTAATTGAGTGTATGTAAACTTCTGACCCACTGGGAATGTGATGAAATAAATAAAAGTTGAAATAAATAATTATCTCTACTATTATTCTGACATTTCACATTCTTAAAATAAAGTGGTGATCCTAACTGACCTAAAACAGGGAATTTTTACTAGGATTAAATGTCAGGAATTGTTAAAAACTGAGTTTAAATGTATTTGGCTAAGGTGTATGTAAACTTCCGACTTCAACTGTACATATACATATCCTTTAAAAAAATATATTTCCCTTTATTATCTTCCAACCCCACCACCCCTTCCCTAATTGGAGTAAACTAGTGAACAACAACGCTTAGGCCTCTACTTCCAGCTTATACATACTATATACACATTTTATGGACACAGTCAATTTTACAATAATTCTATTTTGTTTGTTTTTACTCCTGAACTTCCTCTACCCTCAACCTCTCCGATCATTTTCATGATATCCATCCGGTTTGCTTCTATATGTCATATCTTTCTAACGGTGCTCTTTCACAAAAGCGCTCAACCTATAACCTATATACTTATTATGGACACAGTATGCTTACATTATTAGTTATCTTGTTGTTATTAGTGTTGTTAGTTGTTATTAGTCCCATCCTTCAACTCCATTCAACACCACCCATCTATCTCTTAACACCATCCATATTGGATTTCTATTTGCCATATATTTTTCAACTGTACTGTGATGTTTTACAAAAGTTCTGAACCTTTCTATTTTCATTGTTTCTACAGATTGTAAATTGAAAAGAAACATTTTTGCTAAAAGTATTATTATATTATTGATCGATTGATAAATCATAAATAACTTTTTGTTATTAAATTATCTACCAGACTATCATCAGGTATCTGGAAGACAGAGTTCACTGGCGTTGGTGTGTGATGAGGTTGATTAAAGTACATGAAAAAACCTCATCACGTTCTTCTTGCGAACTGATAGAATGGTCAGATGTATTTTTAGAGCCATGTGCTAAGATGAGACTTTCTCAGATCATTCTTCCTGGCTAAGTGGAAACGTAGAGGAAGTTGAAGCTTCAGTGTTGGTTAGCTTGTGTCATGTGACCCGAGATGAAATGCACATGACTCATTCTAAAAAAAGAACTCAGGCAGGCCATTGAAGATTTTAGAGCACTGAAACCTATTTTCATGTGTGGGTGAGTTGAGTTTATAAAAAGTATGAATGAAGTGGTCATTGTCCTGCCTAATCTACAGGACCATTAAATGTCATCACTGTCATCATGTGAAGTTTCATTACATTTCTTTGGTTTCTTATCTCATATATCTAACTCTCTCTCTTACCACAGCCCTACATCATAACTATGTTCTATACAAACCCTTGAACTGAATTGAGTGTTGATGCTAGCTTCCATATTTCCAACCAAAAGGGTACCTCAAAATGAAATTACCGAACACTCAGGGGAAAATACCACCACAAACTGAGAGACAGATATCACTATATAAAACATTGATAGATGTATGTGTGCAATATCTAACCCAATCAAACTCTTTCCTGTGGTTAAGTCTCTTTGAGAGAGACAGACACCTGCTGTTTTCGCATGTTAATCTTTTCCATTGCATCTATTCTCAAACACCACAACACAACTAGGCTGCACTGCAGCAGACTTCTAGGAAGAACCACATAGTCAATGCTAAATGATGTGAGGGCTTAAGTATATCCGTCGTTATTCGAAGGCCAGGCCACAGACAGACACAGCAGGAAGTGCATTGCAGTAAGTGTTGTTACCATGCAGAATTAGCCCGGAGAAGACTTGCTGAAACATACAGTAAGTCTTTTATAGAGCCATAGCCTCGTCCAAGATATTGATGTGTTTGGTATGGCATGTAGAGCATTCCATGGCATGGCAATTATAGTCAGAGGAGTTGGCTAAAGACAAGCACAACTATGAATACGTTATAATGGTTAAAGGACCATCATTTCATGAACAAATGATATATGCTGCATGTACCAATTGAAGGTGATTTATAAAGTATTTCCCTTTCCAAGCCTCATTGACCTATGGCCCTATGCAGACCCAGAATATGTGTTTTTCCTTCTGGCCACTGTCAGTGCTGCTAAGCACCTCCTTCCTCCGTTTCTCCTCCCTCTCCTCCCTCTTTCTAAAACATTTCTCTATATAACCCTTACATGTGTCTGTCTCTCTCTATTCCAATAAAGTTTATACACCTCCGTCTGAGTCCCCAATAACACACATTCCTATGTCTCTCTCACTACAGCACACATATGTTTCACTCTCTCTATCCATAAAACACATTGGCCTCTCGATATAAATCAGGCTTCACTCTGTGAAACAACGGAGCAGCTGGAGGACCTGAGCCCTAGGACCATGCCTCAGGACTACCTGGCCTGACGACTCCTGGCTGTCCCTGTCCCCAGTCCAACCGGTTGGGCTGCCATTCCAGTTCTGCTGTTCTGCCTGAAGCTATGGAAGCCTGACCTGTTTCACCAGACGTGCTACTTTGTCCTGGACCTGCAGTTTTGACTCTCTCTCTCTCTCTCTTTCTCCCTCACTCCCTCTCTCTCTCCTTCTCGTCGACCTGCTGTCTCGACCTCTGAATGCTCTGCTATGAAAAGCCAACTGACATTTACTCCTGAGGTGTTGAACTGCTGCACCCTCTATAACCACTGTGGTTATAATTTGACCCTGCTGGTCATCTACGAACGTTTGAACGTCTTGAAGAATGATCTGGCCTTAATGGCCATGTACTCTTATAATCTCCACCCAGCACAGCCAGAAGACGACTGGCCACCCCTCGGAGCCTGGTTCCTCTCTAGGTTTCTTCCTAGGTTCCTGCCTTTCTAGGGAGTTTTTCCTAGCCACTGTGCTTCTGCATCTGCATTGCTTGCTCTTTGGGGTTTTAGGCTGGGTATCTGTAAAGTACTTTGTGACAACTGCTGATGTAAAAATGGCTTCATAAAATACATTTCATTTATGGATTTGATTGTTGTTTGAATCCCAGATTGCCCCTCTAAGAAAAAACATGAATCAAGGCTATACTCATTTAACTTGGTTTAAAAAATTAAAAAATAAATAAAATATTGCTCCCTCCCCCTCTTTATCCCTACCCCCATCTCTCTGTCCCTCCTTTCCTCCCTCTCTCTTCCCCCTCCCTCCCTCCCTCTTCCCCCTCCCTCCCTCCCTCCCTCCCTCCCTCCCTCCCTCCCACCCTCCCTAGCCTGACTGACAGACAGAGGTAGGCATGCCTCTCCTTTAGCTCTGCTTGTGTGGAGCTGCTGCTTGCCTGCTAACAGAACAGAGGCAGTCAGATAAAGCAGCCGTGGCCTGGCTGGCTGACTCCAGATTAAAGGACAACATTCTGGGCATTCCTTTCTGCTGAAAGCATCCATCCTCTCACTCTGCTGCACACTGGAGAGGAAATGGCAGGCAGGCAGAACAGAGAGCAGGCAGGAAGGCAGAACAGGCAGCACAGAGAGCAGGCAGAACAGGCAGCACTGTGGATCCTCCAAGGCAAGCCTCACTGACCAAGCACATCCGCCTCCCTCCCTCTCTCTCCCTCTCGTGTTGCCCCCCCCTTAAGTAGTTTTTGGGGGGTATCTGTACTTTACTTTACTATTTCTATTTTTGACTACTTTTACTTCAATACATTCCTAAAGAAAATAATATACTTTTTATTCCATACATTTTCCCTGACACCCAAAAGTACTCATGACATTTTGAATGCTTAGCAGGATAGAAAATGGTCCAATTCACACACTTATCAAGAGAACATCCCTGGTCATCCCAACTGCCTCTGATCTGGCGGACTCACTAAACACAATGCAAATAGTCTGGGTAGCCATTTGATTAGCTGTTCAGGAGTCTTATGGCTTGGGGGTAGAAGCTGTTAAGAAGCCTTTTGGACCTAGACTTGGTGCTCCGGCACCGCTTGCTGTGCGGTAGCAGAGGGAACAGTCTATGACTAGGGTGGCTGGAGTCCTTGACAATGTTTAGAGCCTTCCTCTGACACCGCCTGGTATAGAGGTCCTGGATGGCAGGAAGCTTGGCCCAAGTGATGTACTGGGCCGTACGCACTACCCTCTGTAGTGCCTTGCGGTCGGAGGCCGAGCAGTTGCCATACCAGGCAGTGATGCAACCAGTCAGGATGCTCTCGATGGTGCAGCTGTATAACTTTTTGAGGGGGAATAGGCTTTGTCGTGCCCTTTTCACGACTGTCTTGGTGTGTTTGGACCATGATAGTTTGTTGGTGATGTGGGCACCAAGGAACTTGAAGCTCTCAACCTGTTCCACTACAGCCCCGTCGATGAGAACGGGGGCGTGCTCAGTCCTCTTTTCTTCCCTGTAGTTCACAATCATCTCCTTTGTCTTGATCACGTTGAGGGAGAGGTTGTTATCCTGGCACCACACGGCCAGGTGTCTGACCTCCTCCCTATAGGCTGTCTCATCGTTGTCGGTGATCAGGCCTACCAATGTTGTGTCATCTGCAAACTTAATGATGGTGTTGGAGTCGCACCTGGCCATGCAGTCATGGGTGAACAGGGAGTACAGGAGGGGACTGAGGACGCACCCCTGAGGGGCCCCAGTGTTGAGGATAAGCGTGGCAGATGTGTTGTTACCTACCCTTACCACCTTGTGGCGGCCCATCAGGAAGTCCAGGATCCAGTTGCAGAGGGAGGTGTTTAGTCCCAGGGTCCTTAGCTTAGTGATGAGCTTTGAGGGCACTATGGTGTTGAACGCTGAGCTGTAGTCAATGAATAGCATTCTCACGTAGGTGTTCCTCTTGTCCAGGTGGGAAAGGGCAGTGTGGAATGTAATAGAGATTGCATCATCTGTGGATCTGTTGGGGCGGTATGCAAATTGGAGTTGGTCTAGGGTTTCTGGGATAATGGTGTTGATGTGAGACATGACCAGCCTTTCAAAGCACTTCATGGCTACAGACGTGAGTGCTACGGGTCGGTAGTCATTTAGGCAGGTTATCCTAGTGTTCTTGGGCACAGTGATTTTGGTGGTCTGCTTGAAACATGTTGGTATTACAGACTCAGTCAGGGACATGTTGTAAATGTCAGTGAAGACACTTGCCAGTTGCTCGGAGTACACGTCCTGGTAATCCGTATGGCCCTGCGGCCTTGTGAATGTTGACCTGCTTGAAAGTCTTACTCACATCGGCTACGGAGAGTGTGATCACGTAGTCATCCGGAACAGCTGATGCTCTCATGCATACTTCAGTGTTGCTTGCCTTGAAGCGAGCATAGAAGTAATTTAACTCGTCTGGTAGGCTCGTGTCACTGGGCAGCTCGCGGCTGTGCATCCCTTTGTAGTCTGTAATAGTTTGCAAGCCCTGCCACATCCGACGAGCGTCGGAGCCGGTGTAATACGATTCAATCTTAGTCCTATATTGACTCTTTGCTTGTTTGATGGTTCGTCGAAGGGCATAGCGGGATTTCTTATAAGCGTCCGGGTTAGAGTCCTGCTCCTTGAAAGCGACAGCTCTAACCTTTAGCTCAGTGCAGATGTTGCCTGTAATCCATGGCTTCTGGTTGGGGTATGTACATACGGTCACCGTGGGGACGACGTCATCGATGCACTGATGTGGTGTACTCCTCAATGCCATCAGAAGAATCCCGGAACATATGCTAACTGTCTGTGCTAACAAAACAGTCCTGTAGCTTAGCATCTGCTTCATCTGACCACTTCCTTATTACCCGAGTCACTGGTGCTTCCTGCTTTAGTTTTTGCTTATAAGCAGGAATCAGGAGGATATAATTATGGTAAGATTTGCCAAATGGAGGGCGAGGGAGAGTTTACTGGGTGACTTTCACATTTACTTGAGTCAGGTATCTTTACTTTTACTCAAGTATGACAATTGGGTACTTTTTCCACCACTGCCCCTCTCTCGTGGTGCTTCTCTCTCTCTCTCCATCGCAGCACTGTGTACAGTACAACAGTGCAGTTAAAGACTGGACCAGTGTGGAGGGCTAAAGAAATCATTCAGCAGGCATTGTGTCATACTACCTCACCCTTTCACCCCTCTCCTGCCCTCCTCCAGTACCCCCCTACCCACCCCACCACCACTATTGCCCCAGCCAGTGTTTCTCTTTGATTTCCACTGTGGAAGTCATTAGCCTGGCTGATGGGCATAGCCGGCAGCCCGTGTTTACATTCAATCCGGGTTTGGCCGGGGTAGGCTGTCATTGTAAATAAGAACCTTTATTTAACTAGGAAAATAAAGGTTAAATAAAATAAAAATAAAAATGTATGTCTCAAAGGAAGCCCAGGATGAAAGGCCCCTGCCTTCAACACAGCTGCGTCCCAAATAGGCACCCTATTCCATATGTGATGCACTACTTTTGGTCAGAGCACTATGGGCCCTGGTCAAACGTAGTGCGCTACATAGGGAATAGGGTCATTTGGGACACAGAAACCTTGGTCCTGATGGCGACATTGTTTTCTACCATACAGGGCCCCCGGCCCGGACAGACAGACACCTTTAAAGGGACCTTTCCATCAAATGTTTGGCTAAGGACAAAATGGAGACAGAAAGAGAGACAGCAGGTTTCTTCCAATGCTTTAGGGACAAGAGTTTTACCTGCCTGGTCAGGTCGTGTGTTCAGGAAAACCTCCTGACCCTAACTGTCATATGTAATCATGTGTAATTAGGCCCTGACCAGGAAAACCTCCTGACCCTATATGTTTGTCCTTCCTATGTGACAGACCAAGCAGAATTCCTGGCCGGCCTATGCAATCATTGGACTGAAATAGTGGAAGCCTTGTAGAAAGACAGTAGTTACTGTAATGTACTTTACTGTACATTATTGAACACAATGCAGATAGAAGGTACTGACAGTACACGCACCCTCACAGCAGGCCAAGAAAGACAACAACAACACCCTCACAGCAGGCCAAGAAAGACAACAACAACACCCTCACAGCAGGCCAAGAAAGACAACAACAACACCCTCACAGCAGGCCAAGAAAGACAACAACACCACCCTCACAGCAGGCCAAGAAATACATTTTACATTTACATTTTAGTCATTTAGCAGACGCTCTTATCCAGAGCGACTTACAGGAGCAATTAGGGTTAAGTGCCTTGCTTAAGGGCACATCGACAGATTTTTCACCTAGTCGGCTCGGGGATTAGAACCAGCGACCTTTCGGTTACTGGCACAACGCTCTTACCCACTAAGCTACCTGCCGCCCTAAAGACAACATCAACACCCTCACAGCAGGCCAAGAAAGACAACAACAACACCCTCACAGCAGGCCAAGAAAGACAACAACAACACCCTCACAGCAGGCCAAGAAAGACAACATTAACACCCTCACAGCAGGCCAACAAAGACAACAACAACACACTCACAGCAGGCCAAGAAAGACAACAACAACACCCTCACAGCAGGCCAAGAAAGACAACAATAACACACACACAGCAGGCCAAGAAAGACAACAACAACACCCTCACAGCAAGCCAAGAAAGACAATAACAACACCCTCACAGCAGGCCAAGAAAGACAACATCAACACCCTCACAGCAGGCCAAGAAAGACAACATCAACACCCTCACAGCAGGCCAAGAAAGACAACAACAACACCCTCACAGCAGGCCAAGAAAGACAACAACAACACCCTCACAGCAAGCCAAGAAAGACAACAACAACACCCTCACAGCAGGCCAAGAAAGACAACAACAACACCCTCACAGCAGGCCAAGAAAGACAACAACAACACCCTCACAGCAGGCCAAGAAAGACAACAACAACACCCTCACAGCAAGCCAAGAAAGACAACAACCACACCCTCACAGCAGGGTCAGAGTTTTAACTGTATAAAGTTTATGCTGCTGCTCTCATAAACTGTATACAGCTAAAAGAACGGAGCGCAACAGTTGCCAAAGTATGCACAGCGTACAGGAATGCTGCATGGGGCCCTCTCCCAGCGAACAAAGACAGCACAGTCAGCCTCTTTCCCATAGCCTAGCTACCACATCCGCACATCATTAGTCTGAAAATTCCTCATATATGCTGTCATTTTCTTTTATTCAATGCGGGTACAGGCAAGGCTTTAATATCCCCCCTAACCACTCCTGACTCCCTCACCCCCCAATCAGTCCCCCTTTTCCCCACCTGGAACATGGCCAAGAGCCCGTCAACAATGAATACAGACGGGGCCTGAAGTGCAGGACGTGCGCTGCCTGGCTGGCTGGCGGTAGGGGTTACACAGGAAATACCAAATAAGATGTTCACTGTGCATTGTGCTCTCAGCCGCTGTGTGTGTGTGCATGTGTTCATATCTGTGTGTGTGTGTGTGTGTTTGGGGACAGCCCCTTCTCCCCACTGCAGTTGGAGCATGGAGAGAGAGAGGGAAGTTTTCCTCCCCCCCTCCAAGCCGAACCGTTGAGGAGATATCTAAACATTCCCAGAGAGGGATGCACGTGCTCTCCTGCATGCTGTGTGGGGTTTTCCCTTTCCAAACTGAGCAGAGTTGCTGCCTGAGTGTCTGTCCAGAGTGGAAGCACATTGTCTGGCACTGAGAACACGAAGGACTGGATTCAGACAAAACCCTCCATGAGATTCATCCTCGATTCTAACAGACCGAAATTAGCTGTTGAGGTATTGGGTCTCAAGAGAGATGGAATGTACTGATAAATGCATTGATTACTTATCATTACTTGCACGGTCATGCAATTCAAGATGGAGAATTCAAATGTGGGGAATTCAAAATGTAAACATAGAAACCAGTCATTTCATAAGCAAAAGGGGCATCTGACTGGCTTCTAATCAAAGTCTAGATCGGAGCAAGAATAAAAGTACCAGGGGTTGGAACCAAAATTATTTTCCAATGATTTCGTTCTGAACAGAAGCTTAAATTTTTTCGTTCTGTTCCACTTTTCCTACCAGCAAAATAAAGTTTTGATCCGGTTCGAAGTAATTTAATGTCGAGCTAAACGTACAAAAAATCTGATTACAGAGGTTTCAAAAGGAACAGAAAGAAACGATATAAACATTTTTTAACATTTAGCTCGACATTAAATTACTTCACCAATCGTGCAGTACGGATAGAGCAGCTTGCTGTGGAGCTGGTGAGCTATAGCTCAGTGAGTTGTTTACATGCGTGATAGAAAGACAAGTGTAGGGTGTGAGATGCAATTGAAATTTTGCGGGTGGGGTGAGATCGAGATAGCGTGCAGGAGGAGGCTTGGCTTGAAGCTCTGGGCATCTTGTGATGACATGCATTATCGGAATTAGGCCCCCAGAATTATACCTATGGAGGAACTTTTAATGACTTTGAACTTCAGAGTTGGCTTAACGTTGGGACCAGAGAAGCTAGCTAGCTAACAAGCTTGTGTGTGCAGAGCGACACATTGCTTGTACGACTCATCACCAAATAACAGTAATCACACCTTCCTGCCACAGATATAATTTATCTGTAGACTGGTCCCAGATCCTATTGTGCTGTCTTGCCAGAACAGATCTGGGACCAGGCTACTTCATCCTTAGGGAATATTCAAAGAATATTCAGAATGAGGCAGGCTAGCGAGCAAGCCAGCGGGTGCGAGCAGCAAGAAGCGAGCTGACCCGAGCGGTGGTTGGCTGGTCGGTCACTAGGTGTTGCCAATATGAGGAATTCATTCCATTGGCCAGATGACTCCCACGGTAATGGCACTACTTGTTGTGGGGCCGCGCTACTCACTGCAAACATGGCAGGCAGGAAAAGTGTAGCCTGGTCCCAGATCTGTTTTCGCTGTCTTGCCAACTCTGTGACAATGACAATAGGAGTTGGCAAGACAGTCCAAACAGATCTGGGACCAGGCTATGAAAAATAAAAAGAGGAATTGGTAACGATTTACCTTGACTACATGTCCATAACGCATTCATTACACATCTATAAGTATTTAATGAATGCGTTAGAACAGGTCCCAACCACATTATTAAAGGTTAATGAAATACAGTATGTCCATAGCATATCTATAGCGCATTCATGTCATGCTATGCAAGAGCTCATATTTAGGTATCTTAATAGATGCATCATTAGAATGACAGCGTAGTGTCATGATTATAGCTGTTCTCAAAAATGTGCTTCTGTCACACCAGTGTTAGTTAATATGCCAAAAGGCCAAACCACGTTTTCAAAATGATGCTGATACTGTATATGACATGCCCTGTACCAGACCCATTTCCCAATATTAAAGGTCTATGTATGAATTCTATGCAATTCTATTTTCTTATTCATAAAGCATTTGTAAAGCATTTATAAACCTGCCTCAGTTATCAAAAAGAACATGGACACAACACAACATTTTAAAGGAAATATGTATTGTATTTAATATTTCCATATGTACCTAGCAGATAAAACAATTGCTGAGGACATCACTGAAGAATCCTACTATATTGTAGACATTTTTCTGTTGGATTTTTCTTGAATACAAAGAAAATATTCATATTCAATGGATTCAAATTCAATTCCCCATTTGAGACTCATAGCAATTTAAGTGAGTAAAACGTACTAACACAGGATGGTAACACTAGCTAGCTAGTATTCCCCCTTATTCACTTATGTAGCTAGCTAGCTAAGCCTCTGGCAATGTCAACACGTTTTCCAACTCGGTCAATAAATGTTACAAAATCGTCATTAAACTCATAAAACATTTTGTTAACAATGGTAGCTACCTCACTATTTTAATACTTCAATTATTGTACTTTTGAAGATTACGAACCTTTAACAACAGGACAAATTATGAGAAACATCATGACGTCACAGAGTTTCTAAACCCAGAGGTGCAACATCGCGAGATTTCCGGGAACACTTGGAAACAGACCAGGTTTGAGAAGTCAATGAGAGAAGTGAAAAATTATTCCTTAGTTGTTAATTTTCTTGAAATCTAAATGTTAATTTTCTTGAAATCTAAAGGCACAACCTAGATTCGAGCCAATGTCTTAAGTAGATTAACATATTATTACTCCAACCTCGTGAAAGTTACAAACTAACACGTTTTCATTTTCGTCAAAAACAACCTTATATCGAAGCAGTGCCTTTGATTTGACGGCCTGCACATGCGCAGTTCGGTGCGAGACGACCGTTAGACCCGATGACGTGTTTCTACGCATGAGCTTAGCTAGCCAATGTTGCCATGACATCGCCTACAAGTGTGATCAGGGATTTCTATTGGAGAAGCAGTCTTAGCCTATCTTCCTACTGTACTGTCTTTGACGACCTTCTTTCCATTTTAGCTGCATAGGAGAGTGAGAGGTCAGTGAAATGTCACTTCCTGGTGACCTCTTGCTTCTACAAAAATCACAAAAAAAACAAATTAAACATTTAGTTAACCTTTTTGTTCACTAGTTCATGACTGACATTGTCTGTTTGCACATTTAAAATAAGGAAAATTGCTAATAATAAGCCAGAAGAACGCAGGGCTGACCTCTAACCTCTCCTCTGCTTTAAAAAAAAGCAACTGGTTTCTGTCTCTTCATTTGTCCCGTTTTAAAAGGTTTGTAATGTGCAAAAGTACAATGTAAATAGTGAAATAACATTGTTAACTAAATGTTTCATGAGTTTTTATGACGATTTTGTAACGTTTATTGACTGAGTTGGAAAACGTGTTGACATTGTGCCAGAGGCTTAATTTAGCTAACAAGGGTGAAATGCTAGCTAGCTTTACTACCCTGTGCTAGTAGCAGGGGTTGGAACCGGTTTGAGGACAGAACCAAAAACCGGAAAATAACAAACATTTTAGAGGAACAGAATCAGAACCGGGAACGAAAATGATCTATACTGGTTCAGGAACAGAACCGTTATTTTAAAAGCACGGGAACCGGTTAATAACGTTATTTTATGTTCTGGGAAAATCTTTCCCAGTCCCACAGAAAACGCAACAAAGCGCCTTTGCAAAGCCCTCACTCTGTCACTCAGAAATGTACTCCAGTGTCATAACAACAAGATGCCCAGCACTTCAAGCTAAACCTCCTCCTCCACCCTCTCTCGCTCTCTCCCCACCCGCCAAATGTTAGTCGCATCTCGCGCCCTACACTTGTCTGTCCAATGCATTTAAATAGCTTGCCTGCTCCATAGCAAACTACTCTATCTGCACTGATTGGTGAAGTAATTTAACATTGAGCTAAACTTATTTTTTTTTTAAAATGATTTCAGAGGTTACATTTACATTTTAGTCATTTAGCAGACGCTCTTAATCCAAAGCGACTTACAGGAGCAATTAGGGTTAAGTGCCTTGCTTAAGGGCACATCGACAGATTTTTCACCTAGTCGGCTCGGGTATTAGAACCAGCAACCTTCTTTACTGGCACAACCCTTACCCTAAGCCTCCTGCCGCCCCAGGTTTAAAAAGGAACCAAGAAGAACTATACTAAACCGTAACTTTTTTGGGGTTCGAACCGGTTCAGAACTTTATTTTGCTGGTCGGAACAGTGGAACGGAATAAAATAATTATGGTTCCGTTCAGAACGAAACGATTGGAAAATAAATTAAGCTCCTTGGCTAGTAGTATATGAATGCTTTGAATGTGAATCTTTGTTAAATCTATTCAAGAAAAATCAAACAAAAAAATTTCAATAGTAGGATTCTTCGGCGATGATGTCCTCAGCAATTGTTTTCTGTGCTACATCTGGAAAATGTTAATAAAATGTTTAATATTTCCTGGCTTTAACATTCTGTGTTGTGTCTATTCTTTTTAGTAAGTGAAGCATGCTTTATAAATGATTTATAAATGATTTATGAATGCTTTATGAATGGGAAAATAGAAATGACATTACATTGACTGCATAGAATTCATACATAGACCTTTAATATTGGTGTTCTAGATCAGAGTGGCAAACTGCACAGTTAATTAATATAAAGTGCTTGGCTATAAATGCTTCATGAATGGGAAAATAGATTTGACTTTACTTTGACTGCATATAATTCATACATGTAGACCCTTCATGTGTGCATCATGGACCACTATGACCAACTTAATTAGACATTTTGACCAACTTAATTTTTATGTGGTGGAGGGCTGTTAATGAGTTACGAAAGAGTTATGATATGACCCTCAACTACACGATTTTATCTGTCTAATTTACCCTGAGGATTCAACCCTGTGGGGATCTTCATACACCATTGACCTCAGTGAGAAGAAGCAGAAGGTAAGTCACGGGCCCAGGCAGAGGGGGAAATGGGACTGATACAGTACAAGGCACACTTAACCTGCATGGCTACCACAGCATTCTGCAGCGATACGCCATCCCATCTGGTTTGGGCTTAGTGGGACTAGCATTTGTTTTTCAACAGGACAATCACCCAACACACCTCCAGGCTGTGTAAGGACTATTTTACCAAGAAGGAGGGTGATGGAGTGCTGCATCAGATGACCTGGCCTCCACAATCCCCCGACCACAACCCAATTGAGATGGTTTGGGATGAGTCGGACGGCAGAGTGAAGGAAAAGCAGCCAACAAGTGCTAAGCACATGTGGGAACTCCTTCAATACTGTTGGAAAAGCATTCCAGGTGAAGTTGGTTGAGAGAATGCCAAGAGTGTGCAAAGCTGTAATCAAGGCAAAGGGTGGCTATTTGAAGAATCTCAAATCTCAAATATATTTTGATTTGTTTAACACTTTTTTGGTTACTACATGATTCCATATGTGTTATTTCATAGTTTTGATGTCTTCACTATTATTCTACAATGTAGAAAATAGTTAAAATTAAAGAAAAACCCTTGAATGAGTAGGTGTGTCCAAACTTTTGACTGGTACTGTATGTCTCTTTACCCTGGGTATTACAACGGCCACAGTTTATTTTGGTAGCTGCAAATATGTAACAACAATCAGTCTGAATAAATTATCCCTGAAGCATCTCTGAGAGCATTTGTGTGTGTGTGTACGTGTGTGTGTGTGTACGTGTGTGTGTGTGTGTACGTGTGTGTACGTGTGTGTGTGTGTGTGTGTGTGTGTGTACGTGTGTGTGTGTGTGTGTGTGTGTGTGTGTGTGTGTGTACGTGCCTGAGAAGGAGACCTAGCTTAATGGCTTTCATGGGACAATCCAATCAGTCTGATTCCCATTACAATGACTGGCCTTGGTATGAAAGGACGGACAATCAGGGAAACCCCCACAGGCCAAATACATTATAATAATGAGGTGCTATATTGTTATAAATATGCTTTGAGGAAATAGACCATTAGGGCTTAGGTCTGGTGTGGGGGGACAAGATGTCAATACTTTTGATTTAGGGGCCAAAATATATAACATTTCCCCCTCAATGTGCTCCTTATACATGTGCTTATGAGAAAAGCAAAAGGTTGATAATCCTCAATTTGATGGAAGCCGTCAGCTTAACTCTACAGCTTTACACATCGGCTTGTCACTCAGAGACAGACAATCAGGTGTCAGGAGGCTGAGGTCAATATAAAACAATCAACAAAACATCAGACCCCCAGGGGACCCCCAGCTACTCCCAGGGTCAACCTAATCTGCACCTCTGCGCCACCTGATGGGTGGTCCCTGAGTCCCCCTTTCACTCAGGGGGGGATGGTGGAGGGGTGGAGGTGGGACTCACTGGCAGGAACTGTCAGGGGGCCTCTGAGAGAAGCAGCAACCCCATCACACACACACACACACACACACACAACACATATAAAAGAGAAGGTAAATTCTCATCAACTGTCAACTGCCTTTAGACTAGTTTCAGTTGATGAAAGAAAGATCCAACAGGCCTTTTCTGCACCTTATGTAAGTTCAGCACTCATATACTCAGTTTAAAAGCAGAATATGACTCATATTGATTCATATCATAACTGTTCTTCTATTCAGAGACAGCATTTCTCAGTACCCCTGGTAGTTTGGAATAAATCACGTAGAGCCAGGTGTGGTAATGAGTTGTACGTACCTGAGCTGCTTGGCTTCTGCCTGTAACTGTGTACCTTCATGTCTAAACGAGTCACTCTCTGTTTATTGGTCACTGGTGGGTACCATCCTTTACCATCAGACAAAAAGGGAGAAATCCTACTATGAGTGTGTGTGTTTGAGTGTGTCTGTGTGCATGTGTGTGTGTGTGTTTGAGTGCCCCTGTGTGTGTGCATATGTGTGCGCACACGTGTGTTTGTGTGTGTACTGTGTGTGTCTAGCACTGTGAATGGGTTGTGTTTTTGCATACTGAGTACAGCAACGGCAGTGCATTCTTTATCTGAGTCAGAGGAGACACAGCACTGGGGAGGGAGATAGGGGGGATTCCAGACACACACACACACACACACACACACAGGAACATTAAATCAGGAACAAAGGTCCCATGCTCACGAAACACATAGAGTCGGTATTTCTGTCCCCGATGCCTAAGGTGGATTCCCAGGTGAATTTCCAGAACAGAAGCTCTAACTGCCTAACTAACATGATGTGGCCATGTCTCTGTCATAAAAGAAGTGAAACGCCAGTTTCTGACAAGCAAATAGAACCAGAGGGAGACCACATGACTGACAGCATGACTGAGTCTGGCCAGGCACACATTGGATGACACATCTTAACTTCACAGTCTGTTTCCTTCTCTAGGTAGTGCTTAGCAAAGTTGATGCCAAAACATTTAGAAATGAAACAATGTCTCCCCTGGACATTATTTTGTATTAGTGATATAATACTATACATATTTGGCACGTATTAGTATATATTCACATCACAATTCCCACATATGTCAAATGAATGTCCTCAGTTAGTCTTGAATGTCCTCAGTTAGTCCTGAAATACCCTTAAGGTCTGCTAATCTAAAACGTCTCATCTCTCCCTGCTTCCATCCCCACACAAAAAAAAGAGTCCTTTCAGACCTTCTCCCGCTCTCTGTACTCCTCTGTCCTGCTATCTCTGGACATCAGAGCCCAGTGAAAAACCAACAAGATCTCACGGTTTTACCAATTTGACTTCAGATTCTGATGTTTATCCATGCTTCTTCAAACGTCAAATTTAGAAGTTGCTCCAAACTCAAATTTACATTTACGTCATTTAGCAGACGCTCTTATCCAGAGCGACTTACAAATGTTGAAGTGTTTGACACCCTGGTTTGCTCCTCCAGCTCTGCGTCAGTCCGAATGGTTAAGTCAGGGTTCCCAAAACTCGGTCCTCTGGACCCCAAGGGGTGCACATTTAGTTTTTTGCCCTAGCACTACACAGCTGATTCAAATAATCAACTAATCATCAAGCTTTGATTATTTGAATCAGCTGTGTAGTGTTAGGGCAAAAACCAAAAAGTGAGGACCGAGTTTGGGAAATGCTGGGTTAGGTTAAGGGTTAAGGTTTGGGAAAGGGTAAAAAAAAAAAAAAAAAAATACACGAGTGTTTTAGGTTTCATTTATTTGCACCAAAGAACATATGTGACACACAACAATACAGATCAAAACAAATAATAAACACGTGACCTTCGGATCAGGAGTCATGGGATTCTGAATGGTTAACTTAAGGGTTAAGGTTTGGGATAGGGTTAAAAAATTGAACACGTGACCTTCAGATCTGGAGTCATGGGATTACGCCCGTCCGCCACCTCTGTCCAGGTAAAATCGCTCATCGTTGCCCCTAGTGGCCAATTTTGAAGGCCTTTCCCGACGTCCTCAGGACAATTTCGAAGTCAACTTGGAGCGATGTGGCTGTGAAAGTCCCACTTCAAAGTCTTGATGGAAGAAGGGTGGGAGGAGAAGAGGGGGGAATCGCTGACTCAATCTCTTTCTGTCCCCCCTAGCTCCCTCCCTCCCTCTTTGTCCATTTCATCCTTGTCACGTCCACTCCACTTCAGGGATTCTCTTCGGCTCTTCCTTCGTTCTCACTTTACACCATATTGTTTACCGGTCTTCTCTCTGGCTTGCCGACTGGTGCCCTTTCAGTGCCCGTTACATCACATTAGCCGCTTTTCATCTGTGTCTCAGGAGAACGTCCTGCCTTCTCTCTCTCATTCTGTACTTCTGTGGCCTCATGTCCCAATCTTTTATAGTCTCACTTTCACCTCCCACTCAGGATACTTCTCTTCTCATTGGTCGACCAGCTCAGTAAAACATAGTATGCATTCCAAATGGCACCCTATAGGCCTAAAGTGTACTATGGGTCCTGGTCAAAAGTAGTGCACTATAAAGGGGAATAGAGTGCCATTTGGGAAGCAACCACACATACAGTAAGTGGAAGTTCACCCAACTGGAGAAAAAAAGAGCAGGACTAACTGACCAATAGCAGAGAAGAAGAAAATGAGATAAAGATGGACACACACAGACAGACACAGAGAGAGAGAGAGAGAGATGGGGAGAGAGAGATGGGGAGAGAGAGAGAGAGAAGAGGTTTTCAGAGTAAGGGCCTGAAGCCAGTCGTTTGTCCCAGGTGAAAGTATTTTGTGTTGGAGAGGGCTGAGGGAGATAAGGAGTCTATTAAATGATGCTTTACATTGGGAAGTAACACAGCCTCAATACATAACCTCTGTTATTTCATCTCTCATCTACAGTAAATACCTGATATCAAAGGAAGAGTAGTCTGTCTTAATCGGACGTATGCTGATTGAGACTATGGAATAAAGCTAGTGAAACTGTATGAAAAGGAACCAGTCTGGTTATACAGTATGTAGCAGTATGTGAAATACCTTTAGGGTTTGGTTTGCCCTGTATAATTGAACCAATGGAATAGTCCCAAAAGTGTAAACCAAGGAAAATATGTTTTAAAGTATGTGAACTATGTATTTGACATGATATAGTATATTCTATACCATCACGTCATAAAAACGGTGTGCAGTGTGTGTACTGGTATAACGTTAAAGGGATAATCCACCCTAGAAATGTAATGTGATGTAATACGTCATCATGATAAGGTTCTAGTCACTGGATATGGGGGAAAACAAACTATCACATTTCATAATGCTTTTAAAACAATTACCTGCACTCCAGATCGCCAAATAAGCCAATAGATGGTATGGGCAAACTCTTCTAGAACAAATACATCTGTCTATATCGTCACAACAAAGTATATATGTTGTTCAAATGTCCCCAAAGTGCACAGCGCGCCATTAGATTAATATCCTTTCTTCCTTCAACTATTATGGCGCAAAACAGTGTTCTCCTCTCCCTGCTTGCAGGCTCACAGGGCCTTTGTGCATTGCCATAGCAACCTGACTCACACAGCTTTATGCTAGAAACACAATCTCTACCAGGTTGAACATGGTGATATTGTAACTCCTAAATTGATAGTGAAGTTTGTTTCAGGGAATTACAACTAGCTAACTACTTCGCATGCTGATATTGACTTTGGTATTATTGTTTGTAGTTACGTTTTCTAGATAGCTACCTAGTGAGCTAGACAGCTTTTCTGGATAGAACATTGCATTGTGGGTTTTGTAGTCGACTTGAGCTCTGCAGATTTCCACAACAATTTTCACATGTTGCTTCCGAACTTATTATAACAATATTTTTTCACAACATATATTGTTCTCACATATTTGTGTTATTTAACCTATGTAAATCATAGGAATTTGTGGTTTTAAGTGGATTATTCCTTTAAGATGCTCACCACAGAGTTCAAGGCCATCTGAAATCTGTATATCCTGTAGTGCTGAGCGATTAACCAACATTTCGTTTATTTTTTGTTTTTTAAACAACTAATTGACCGAAGTCGTTTCAATTATTTGAATTACATTTTTTTTGTGTGAGCTCAACACGCACTTTCTCTAGAAAGAAATCAGATCAAGCCCAAACTGTGTGATGTGGTAGGGAGTTGTAGTTTCCAACAGGCCAATATTCAACATAGTTTAGCGCAGAAAACGTGGTAATTAACTACAATGGACCATAATCCATTGCATGCCTACTTGTCCGTCGGTATGGGCAGAGATCTGTATATAATGACGAGATGCTCATATCTCCATCCTAACAATGGGAGTCATTGTTCCAAAGGCGGAAAGACAGAAGCTAGGTCCAAAATAAGCCCATAGAAACACATTGGGTTTATATTGGATAGATTTAAGAGTGAATCCTCTCGCTTTGCCTCCTCCTCTCACGGAGAGGGAGAGAAGAGATGGAAGAACGCGCTATCGAGAGGGATAGAGAGCATTTGCTTCGCGAGGTACAGTATCTCTACCTGAAAATACATGATCTAATCTAAGTGATTGATAGTTGGTATTATTCAGTAGTCATAAAAGTATGCCTTATTTACTTTGAAGAACTACAAAATAGTGATTTAGTCAGACAGCATAGGCAGCAGCTCTATAGAGAGGAGATGATGACTTGGAATGAAATAATAAAGTCATCATATAAAACAAATGTACATATAATATACAAAACAACTGAAATATTTTATTAAAGTAATGTGAATAAATCAAATCAAAATTGTATTTGTCACATGCGCCGATTACAACAGGTGTAGACCTTACCGTGAACTGCATACTTACAAGCCCTTAACCAACAATGCAGTTCAAGAAAGAGTTAAGAAAATATTTACTAAATAAACTAAAGTAAAAAATGAAATAAAGAGTAACACAATAAAATAACAATAACGAGGCTATATACAGGGGGTACCGGTACTGAGTCAACGTGCAGGGGTACAAGTTATTCGAGGTAATTTGTACATGTAGGTAGGGGTAAAGTGACTATACATAGATAATAGCCAGCGGGTAGCAGAAGTGTAAAAACAAATGGAGGGGAAGTCAATGTAAACAGTCCAGGTGGCCATTTCATTAATTGTTCAGTAGTCTTATGGCTTGGGGGTAGAACCTGTTAAGGAGCCTTTTGGTTCTATACTTGGCGCTCCGGTACCGCTTGCCGTGTGGTAGCAGAGAGAACAGTGTATGACATGGGTGACTGGAGTCTTTGACAATTTTTTGGGCCTTCCTCTGACACCGCCTAGTATATAGGTCCTGGATGGCAGGAAGCTTGGCCTCAGCGATGTACTGGGCCATATGCACTACCCTCTGTAGCGCCTTACGGTCAGATGCTGAGCAGTTGCCATACCAGGCGGTGATGCAACCTGTCAGGATGCTCTCGATGGTGCAGCTATTTAACTTTTTGAGGATCTGGGGACTCATTCCAAATCTATTCAGTCTTCTGAGGGGGAAAAGGTGTTGTCGTGCCCTCTTCATGACTGTCTTGGTGTGTTTGGACCATGATAGTTCGTTGGTGATGTGATGTGAATTTGAAACTCTTGATCCGCTCCACTACAACCCCATCGATGTTAATGGGGGCCTGTTCGGCCCGCCTTTTCCTGTAATCCATGATCAGCTCCTTTGTCTTGGTCACATTGAGGGAGAGGTTGTTGTCCTGGCACCACACTGCCAGGTCTCTGACCTCCTCCCTATAGGCTGTCTCATCGTTGTCGGTGACCACTGTTGTGTTGTCAGCAAACTTAATGATGGTGTTGGAGTCTCCAGATCCTTCAGGTTTCGGGGCTGTCGCTGGGCAATACGGACTTTCAGCTCCCTCCAAAGATGTTCTATTGGGTTCAGGTCTGGAGACTGACTAGGCCACTCCAGGACCTTGAGATGCTTCTTACGGAGCCACTCCTTAGTTGCCCTGGCTGTGTGTTTCGGGTCGTTGTCATGCTGGAAGACCCAGCCACATCTTCAATGCTCTTACTGAGGGAAGGAGGTTGTTGGCCAAGATCTCGTGATACATGGCCCCATCCATCCTCCCCTCAATACGGTTCAGTCGTCCTGCCCCCTTTGCAGAAAAGCATCCCCAAAGAATGATGTTTCCACCTCCATGCTTCACGGTTGGGATGGTGTTCTTGGGGCTGTGCTCATCCTTCTTCTTCCTCCAAACACGGCGAGTGGAGTTTAGACCAAAAAGCTCTATTTTTGTCTCATCAGACCACATGACCTTCTCCCATTCCTCCTCTGGATCATCCATCAGTCATTGGCAAACTTCAGACGGGCCTGGACATGCGCTGGCTTGAGCAGGGGGACCTTGCGTGCGCTGCAGGATTTTAATCCATGACGGCGTAGTGTGTTACTAATGGTTTTCTTTGAGACTGTGGTTCCCAGCTCTCTTCAGGTCATTGACCAGGTCCTGCCGTGTAGTTCTGGGCTGATCCCTCACCTTCCTCATGATCATTGATGCCCCACGAGGTGAGATCTTGCATGGAGCCCCAGACCGAGGGTGATTGACCGTCATCTTGAACTTCTTCCATTTTCTAATAATTGCGCCAACAGTTGTTGCCTTCTCACCAAGCTGCTTGCCTATTGTCCTGTAGCCCATCCCAGCCTTGTGCAGGTCTACAATTTTATCCCTGATGTCCTTACACAGCTCTCTGGTCTTGGCCATTGTGGAGAGGTTGGAGTCTGTTTAATTGAGTGTGTGGACAGGTGTATTTTATACAGGTAACGAGTTAAAACAGGTGCAGTTAATACAGGTAATGAGTGGAGAACAGGAGGGCTTCTTAAAGAAAAACTAACAGGTCTGTGAGAGCCGGAATTCTTACTGGTTGGTAGGTGATCAAATACTTATGTCATGCAATAAAATGCAAATTAATTACTTAAAAATCATACAATGTGATATTCTGGATAAAAATTACAGACCTCTACATGCTTTGTAAGTAGGAAAACCTGCAAAATCGGCAGTGTATCAAATACTTGTTCTCCCCACTGTAGGTGTTCCTTTTGTCCAGGTGGGAGAGGGCAGTGTGGAGTGCGATTGAGATTGCGTCATCTGTGGATCTGTTGGGGCGGTATGCGATTTGGAGTGGGTCTAGGGTATCCGGGATAATGGTGTTGATGTGAGCCATGACTAGCCTTTCAAAACACTTCATGGCTACCGACGTGAGTGCTATGGGGCGGTAATCATTTAGGCAGGTTACCTTCACTTCCTTGGGCACAGGGTCTATGGTTGGGTTTCCCTTTGTAGTTCGTAATAGTTTGCGAGCCCTGCCACATCCGACGAGCGTCAGAGACGGTGTATTAGGATGGTTAATAAGCGATAAGCAGTAATGTGCAGTCACTACCATCATGGGACTTTAATGACATGTTTTATTCTGTGTTGTCACAGCATTCAATGCACACAATGCATAGCGCATTTAATGTGAAAATAATTATTGAAACCGACATTGAAAACCGTGATTCTTTTTTAAATAATTGAACTGAAACCGAACCAACCTCAAAAAGCACTAATCACTCAGCACTAATATCCTGGTCAAGCATAGTCTCTACTCAGTACATAATCAGTATTGGGTGTTTATAAGAGTTTATGTTATAGTTGATAAAAGTATGGTTCTCACCACAGAGGTCAGTTCTATCTAAAATCTGTATATCGTTATAACAGTTTACATTTTAGTCATTTAGCAGACGCTCTTATCCAGAGCGACTTACAGTTAGTGAGTGCATAATTTTTATTTTTCATACTGGCCCCCCGTGGGAATCGAACCCACAACCCTGGCGTTGCAAGCGCCATGCTCTACCAACTGAGCTACACGGGACTATATATGCTATCTAACTAACTACCCAACGTTTATTGACTTGATTATTCACGTTATTATAACAGGTTTATAACAGTAAGGTTCTCACCACGGAGGTCAGAGCCATCTGAAAGCTGTATATCCTTGGTGTTATGACAGTTTATAAGAGGTTATAACAGGTTTATAACAGTAAGGTTCTCACCACGGAGGTCAGGGCCATCTGAAAGCTGTATATCCTGGCGAGGCCGAAATCGGCCAGTTTGATCTGTCCTCCGCTGGTGACCAGGATGTTCTGGGGTTTCAGGTCCCGGTGAACCACACGGTGTGAGTGCAGGAAGTCCAGTCCCTGCAGCAGCTGGTACATCATATCCTGTTAGGACAACACACATGGACACTCAGACACAGTCTTAACATGTACAACATTACATTTACATCATTTAGCAGACGCTCTTATCCAGAGCGACTTACAAATTGGACAACATGACACATGGACACTCCAACACAGTCTTAACAGGTACAACATGACACATGGACACTCCAACACAGTATTAACAGGTACAACATGACACATGGACACTCAGACACGGTCTTAACAGGTACAACATGACACATGGACACTCAGACACGGTCTTAACAGGTACAACATGACACATGGACACTCCAACACAGTATTAACAGGTACAACATGACACATGGACACTCAGACACGGTCTTAACAGGTACAACATGACACATGGACACTCCAACACAGTATTAACAGGTACAACATGACACATGGACACTCCAACACAGTATTAACAGTACAACATGACACATGGACACTCCAACACAGTATTAACAGGTACAACATGACACATGGACACTCAGACACGGTCTTAACAGGTACAACATGACACATGGACACTCAGACACGGTCTTAACAGGTACAACATGACACATGGACACTCCAACACAGTATTAACAGGTACAACATGACACATGGACACTCCAACACAGTATTAACAGGTACAACATGACACATGGACACTCCAACACAGTATTAACAGGTACAACATGACACATGGACACTCAGACACGGTCTTAACAGGTACAACATGACACATGGACACTCCAACACAGTCTTAACAGGTACAACATGACACATGGACACTCCAACACAGTATTAACAGGTACAACATGACACATGGACACTCCAACACAGTATTAACAGGTACAACATGACACATGGACACTCAGACACAGTCTTAACAGGTACAACATGACACATGGACACCAACACAGTATTAACAGGTACAACATGACACATGGACACTCCAACACAGTATTAACAGGTACAACATGACACATGGACACTCCAACACAGTATTAACAGGTACAACATGACACATGGACACTCCAACACAGTATTAACAGGTACAACATGACACATGGACACTCCAACACAGTATTAGCAGGTACAACATGACACATGGACACTCTAACACAGTATTAACAGGTACAACATGACACATGGACACTCCAACACAGTATTAGCAGGTACAACATGACACATGGCCACTCCAACACAGTATTAATAGGTACAACATGACACATGGACACTCCAACACAGTATTAATAGGTACAACATGACACATAGCCACTCCAACACAGTATTAATAGGTACAACTGACAACATGAACCCATGGGACCACTCCAAACAAGTATTAACATGGTACAACATGACACATGGACACTCCAACACAGTATCAACAGGTTACAACATGACACATGGAACATCCAACCACAAGTATTAATAGGTACACATGGGCACCATGGGACACCTCAGTACCCATCAAGCTGAGTTCGAATGCTCATACTAACAGCACTAACCATCCTATTTGTGACATAATTTGAGAATGTAGTATGCTTATTGGTCATAGTATGAATATAGTTAGTATGCAAAAAGTTCACGGATGTCGTACTACATTCACCAAAATACGAAGTATACTAGCAGTGGATGCTATTTCTGTGCTTTTAGGGCCCATAATGCAATTCTTCAGAAAATGGGCGTCGTTTCACAACATTTTCAGATTTAAAGAAAATGGCGGGAAATATACAGCGGAAGTCTGACGAGAGCGGATACAAATTAATTGCTTTAACTAATTATGACAAATATTAAGAAAATGTTGAGCAATGTAATAAAGTAATGACTTTTCAAATAAGTTACGTTACACGTTCTGTTGGCTGACAATTTGTTAGCTACGCTAGCCTTACGAATCGCATAGCATATCATTACAGCAGTTGCTTGTATGTACCGGTATGTTAGCTAGCTACCTAACGTTAGTTGGCTACTAATACATCGAACTTGCCAGTATATTAACTATATTGTGACGAGTACTGAGGATACGAAGAGGCAGGACGCAGACGCAAGACTGAACAATGTAAAGGTTTACTTAACACTGAGCAAGAGAACAACAAAGAGCGAGTACACGACAAGACACTAACAATCACACACAACACAACACTGAACAGTCCAGGGCTATATAGGGGTGGTGATGAGATGATGAGGTTCAGGTGCGCTGGAGGTGATTAGGGTGCGTTGGGTTTCCATTCCGGTGTTGCCGAGGTGGTGCGCTCAGACCGGTGGCTCAGTAGACCGGCGAATCAGAGCGCCGGAGGGGAGCAACGGGAGGAGACATGACATATATGCTATCTAACTAACTACCCAACGTTTATTGACTTGATTATTCACGTTATTCTTAGCTTAGCTAAGTGGTATAGTCGTTGTGCATTCTCAATGGACATTGTTAATGAAGTCGTAAGATGTCTAGATAGTAATTTGTTTGCTATCCTAACAAGCTAGCAAGAAGTTGCATAGCAACAGTATCAACTTCTGGTAGACGGTTGACGCGCTAGTACACTCAACAGAAAGGATACCGTTGGTTTACAGTATACTAAAATTAACTAATAGTATATAGTGTGTATTATATACTCATTAAGTATGTAGTATACAGTATGTTAGTATGGGTATTCGAAAACAGCTACAGTCTTAACAGGTACAACATGACACATGGACACATGGACACAGACTTAACATGACACATGGACACTCCAACACAGTCTTAACATGACACATGGACACATGGACACAGACTTAACATGACACATGGACACTCCAACACAGTATTAACAGGTACAACATGACACATGGACACTCCAACACAGTATTAACAGGTACAACATGACACATGGACACTCCAACACAGTCTTAACAGGTACAACATGACACATGGACACTCCAACACAGTCTTAACAGGTACAACATGACACATGGACACTCCAACACAGTCTTAACAGGTACAACATGACACATGGACACTCCAACACAGTCTTAACAGGTACAACATGACACATGGACACTCCAACACAGTCTTAACAGGTACAACATGACACATGGACACTCTGACAGTTTGTCGTCACTTTACGGATACAAGACACATTTTAAAATCTGTGTTTGGTTGCTACACATTGGTGTTGGATGGATCCCCCAATACTAATGCAATTTTTTATTTGACCTTTATTTAACTAGGCAAGTCAGTTAAGAACAAATTCTTATTTACAATGACGGCCTACACCGGCCAAACCCAGACGACGCTGGGCCAATTGTGCGCCGCCCTATTGGACTCCCAATCACGGCCGGTTGTGATACAGCCTGGAATGGAACCAGGGGGTCTGTAGTGACGCCTCAAGCACTGAGATGCAGTGCCTTAGACCACTGCGCCACTGGAGACCAATTCACTATCTTCATCATCATGTGTGTACAGTATGCACATCACTGTAAACTGGAAGGTAACGATAGTAAGAGCAACATTCTTTAAGAAACATAATTTACTTCTCTTCTAAATCAGCCAACGGGCCTCAGAACACTGAAAACCTAAATGAAAATTCCCACAGAGTGAAGCGAAAATCACTGAGGCCTTGTATGCAGTGCAGCAGCCTGTCGACTAGGAAAAAAAAGAGAACGTGTCCCTTTAAAGCCTTAGTGTGGCAGATGTTGATAACTGACACGACTGCGGAGGGAGAGCAGAGCAGGAAAGACATGTTGCTGTGAGGGTGTAGTTCTGATCTGTGGGCCCTGGTCAAAAGTAGTGCACTACATAGGGAATAGGGTGCAGCCTTAATCTGTTGGTGGTGGGCTTCTCTCTGCTTTCCTCCCTCTCTCCCTGCAGCTGGCTTGACTGGAGATGAGGAGGTTTTGATCCACTCTTTCAAGCTGCAGCCAGGAACGGTCCCACAGTGGCCCTAATGCCCACAAGCACTCAGTCCAGGGAGAGAGAAAGAAAGGTAAAAAAGAGAGCAAGAGAGAAAGAAAGAAAGAGTCTGAGAGAAGGGCTAAACTGAAAGGGCTCAACGGCCATTTCCTCTCTCTGGTGGAACTTGCACAACAACATAAGGTCTGAACTGAGGGTGATAGTGGCGGTGGGGGCTGTTTGAGTGATAGAGACAGAGAGATGGGGGAAGATTAAAAAAGAAAGAGAGAGGGAGAGAAAGAGGGTCTCTCTCACAGTTGCGACATGAATCGGCCTGCTGCTGGGGTTGCAGCAGGCGGCGGTGCGCCCCCCCCCCCCCCCCCCCCCCCCCCCCCCCCGAAACCCGTCGCCAAGACCTCACAAGTGACATGGACCTGGGCCCGCGTGGGGCTCCATTCTCTGACCCTAGCAGCTGGTGAGTGATTAAAAGAGGTGAAACAATGGTCTGCACACTCAAGCAGAAAACATTTCCAAACGGCGCGGGGCTGACCAGGGCTGAGGGGAGGGGGCTGGTGCCTCTGCACGGAATAGGGACAGGACCCTGTATGTGTGTCTGTGTGTGAGAGAAGAGACAGGGCAGAGTCTCTCTGTGTGTGTGTGTGTGTGTGTGTGTGTGTGTGTGCGCGTTGTGGTGTGTGTGAGGGTCCCCTGCGCAGGCCAGCCAGAGACAGTAAACAGGCCTTATTTTTTGCATATCCGTCCATCCATAACCTAGCAGGCCAACAGACAGGGGCAGAGGCAGTTATTTAGGGGGTTGACACAATGGCATCACCCCAATGAGTTCCTCTCTGTTTGCTTTAAATAGCCATTTGCGACATGTTTCCTTTCAACAGCATTTTCTACAAAACCCCAATTATCTCAAAAGTGTGACTTGAGGACAAACAACAACCATGCCCCCCTTGGCACTCCATCTCCTCTTCCCTGCTTCAGTTCATTCATAACAGTCATACAGTAGCAGATGATGCAGGTGAAGATGAATGATGCAGTTGCTTGTCAAGAGTTAATACATTTTAGTTTTTGATAACAGTGAATAGTTTGTAGGACTGGAGAAAATGTCAAACAATCAGACTGACATTAATATCTAGTCTCCAGTCTGCAGATGGTATGAGAAAACACCTGACCTGATGCAAACCAATGTGACAGGAGGTGACACTGAGCAACAAGTTGCCCAACACCCCAACTGTCTATGACAGCAACTCGACCAGCGATAGCTCACTAGGAAACACAAGGCAAGCAACTCTTGCAATAAAAAATCAAGCCCAAAAAAGAAGTGTACCCAAGAAAGAAAAAAAAAGTAGCCTAGAGAAAAAGTAGTCAAAACATGTCATCCCCTAGTGCACCCCCTTTTGTCATGCTAATATGCAAGATGCAGCCATATTGTTTTTTGTAGCCGTGTCACAATACAGGACATCTGCCAGTTAGTGTAATGCTTCATTAACCAGGCTTTTATAGGGCCAGGCCTGGAGACGGGGAAGGATGGGGGATCTGGGGGTGGAGGAGGGGGTAGAGAGGCACAGAGCCCAGCGTTAGCCCAGCCGCACTCCCCAAGGCTGGGGGAGGCTAGGGGACAGAGACCGGCTGCTTGATGTCCTTCCAGCTCATTTGATTCCCGGAGTCTCTTTGATCAATTACCATACGGTGGGTCTGACTGGAGGTCTGAAAGGGGGCAGGAGGAGTGGATGGACAGTCTGGGCAAGGGGTGGGCTGGGCATTGGGGGGGGTGGAGGGATGGTGTGCAATCTGGTGTGTAAATTAAGTAGTTGGGGGGGGCAGTGTTTTGGGGTTTGGGGGGGGGGGGGGGGGGGGGGGGGGGGTGTTACTGTGCAGTGTCCACTGTCATGGAAATAAAAGGGACGGTGCCGCTGTCATCTTGTACTTGATCGTTATCCATTGTCCCTCATCGCTCCAGCTGCTGTTTGGATGTTGAGAATGAATGGGAGAGATCTCACTCCCACTCAACAAGTGGTTTTCCATGCTTGCTTTGGAGTCTATTTGGTTTGGCTGAGTATGCCTTGATGGTAAAGCATGCTTCAAAAATACATATCCAGTCGACTTGATCATGCATTTTTGGCTAATCCACCAAAACAGCTGCATTTTCAAAGCTAAATTGACATATATGGGAATACTAACACAGGGTTCATTTTAGCTAAAATAAAATAAAATCACATTTTAATTGTCACATGCTTCGTAAACAACAGGTGTAGACTAACAGTGAAATGCTTACTTACAGGCCCTTCCCAAGAATGCAAAATACAATCATAAAATAATATAAAAAATAATAACACAAGGAATAAATACACAATGAGCAATGATAGCTTGGCTATATACACGGGGTACCAGTACCGAGTCAATGTGCAGGGGTATGAGAAACTTAAGGTAGATATGTACATATAGGTAGGGGTAAAGTGACTAGTCAACAGGATAGATAATAGACAGTAGCAGCAGCGTATGTGATGAGTGTGGGAGTGTGTGTGTGTGTTTGAGTGTCAGTGTAAGTATGTGTGGGTGTGTGGGTAGAGTCCAGTGTGTGTGCATAGAGTCAAAAAGAGTTAGTGTAGATAGTCCTGATAGCTTTTTAGTTAACTATTTAGGAGTCTTATGGCTTGGGGGTGGTAGCAGAGAGAACAGTCTATGACTTGGGTGGCTGGAGTCTTTGACAGTCTTTAGGGCTTTCCTCTGACACCGCCTGGTATAGAGGTCCTGGATGGCAGGGAGTTCGGTCCCAGTGATGTACTGGGCCATACGCACTACCCTCTGTAGAGCCTTGCGGTCGGATGCCAAGCAGTTGCCATACCAAGCGGTGATACAGCCAGTCAAGATGCTCTCAATGGTGCAGCTGTATAACTTTTTGAGGATCTGAGGGCCCTTTACAACTGTTGGGTCTATAGCGATGTGGACACCGAGGAACTTGAATCTTTCAACCCACTCCACTACAGCCCTGTCGATGTGAATGGAGGCGTGTTCGGCCCTCCGTTTCCTGTAGTCCACGATCAGCTCCTTTGTCTTGCCCACATAGAGGGAGAGGTTGTTGTCCTGGCACCACACTGCCAGGTCTCTGACCTCCACCCTATAGGCTGTCTCATCACTGTTAGTGATCAGGCCCACCACCGTTGTGTCATCGGCAAAATTGATGATGGTGTTGGAGTCGTGCGCGGCCACGCAGCTGTGGGTGAACAGGGAGTACAGGAGGTGACTAAGCAGTCCAGGATCCAGTCTTCAGTCCCAGGGACCTTAGCTTAGTGATGAGCTTGGAGGGCAATATGGTGTTGAACGCTGAGCTGTAGTCTATGAACAGCATTCTCACGTAGGTGTTCCTTTTGTCCAGGTAAGAAAGGGCAGTGTGGAGTGCAATAAAGATTGCGTCATCTGTGGATCTGTTTGGGCGGTATGCGAATTGGAGTGGGTCCAGGGTGTCTGGGATGATGGTATTGATGTGAGCCATGACCAGCCTTTCAAAGCACTTTGAAAGGCTGGTCACAATGGCGGCGAGCTTTACACCACTCCAGCCAGCGCTTGGTATTGCGCATGGTGATCTTAGGTTTGTGTGCGGCTGCTCGGCCATGGAAACCCATTTCATGAAGCTCAAGACGAACAGTTCTTGTGCTGTTGTTGCTTCTGGAGGCAGTTTGGAACTCGGTAGTGAGTGTTGCAACCGAAGACAGGTGATTTTTACACGATTTCTTACGCGATTTTTCATCACTCGGTGGTCCAGTTCTGTGAGCTTGTGTGGCCTACCACTTCGTGGCTGAGCCGTTGTTGCTCCTAGACGTTTCCACTTCACAATAACAGCACTTACAGTTGACCGGGGCAGCTCTAGCAGGGCAGAAATTTGACCAACTGACTTGTTGGAAAGGTGGCATCCTATGATAGTGCCAATGTTTGTTTATGGAGATTGCATGGCGGTGTACTCGATTTTATACACCTGTCAGCAACAGGTGTGGCTGTAATAGCCGAATCCACTAATTTGAAGGAGTGTCCACATACTTTTGTATATATAGTATATATTGGCCTAAGGCTGAGACAATAAGAAAACACAATGGCAGAATAAATTCAACCAAAACTTTGTTTCATCAGAAAACCGGAGAGCAACCTCTGTCCGGTGAATTCCACAAAGCATATTGCATGTAACATGACCTACAGCATGGTCAACCAAGTGAATGTTTCCGACATTTTCTGACTACTAAACAACTATTGATTTAGAACCATGGAGATTTACCGCAAGTTGCAAAGAAAACAGGAGCTGACTCCACTATTCCAGCACCATTTCAACTAAAACATTTCAACATCACCAAATCCCTTATGCTTAAGTCAGTGACAACTAAAAGATACCAAAAATGATTAAATCCAATCAACGTAAGCTAAATATGATGTGGCTGTCCATGGTTCTGATTTCTGTGTGTGTGTGTGCGTGCGTTCGTTCGTGCAAGTAGAAAAAAACATGTTGACTCACCCTACTTGTAGAAAAACGCCAATGACATCATCCTCTCTTTCATGTTGATGAAACGGTCTTTGACTTTGTCATACAGTATATGCATTTATTTTTTGTTGTCCTAGGCTACCTGGCTAAAATGCTTGCTCGCTAGCCTAACTTCCTTTCATGGGCAACGTTAGCTAGTTAACATTAGCCTACTACATCTAGCTACATATTGACCTTTCATCCTCTCAGCCAGGGGCACAATGTATGAATTTTTACAGTTGGATCAGAATCGCCGTTATAATCCTTGGCCAGTACGGAGAATTAAGTAAAACCACAAGTCCAAATCCCTATCTCCATCCATGGCTAATTTAGGAAAGGGCCAATTTTAGCTAGCTAGCCAGCCACCGGAGGACAACAACACAACGAGATGCAAAATTCAAGTTGTTTCTGTCAATTACGTACAGTTGCTCTCAATGGGATTTGATAGGAGTGAAGCCAAATCTAAACTGGCTTCCCTTGACACTTTTTTTTGGTGCGCCAGGACCATTCACAGTTGAGCTCACTCAGTTTAGCTCAACACTGATTGGCTATTATTTTATACTTTTTTTATCAAGGGAGGCCAAATGCTCACTGGCTGCCCTTGCATTCAATGCTACGGGTCGCAACAATGTCATACTCTTTTTGACCAGCATCAGATAGATGGCCTATACATAAAGAGAGAGAGGGGGGCGCTGTTTCGCTTGCTCGGATACTTCTCTGGTGAAATACATTCAGCCTCTTAAGAATAGAAGGAAAATTATGAAACACAGAGAGACTAAATATATTATTATTTGCTATGTGTTTTTGTAGTAAAAAATGTTGGGAAACCTGGCTTCCCTCGGCAACCATGAATACACGCCACTGAGTGAATACACTTGCCAGCTGGTCAGTGCATGCTCTGAGTACGCGTCCTGGTAATCCGTCTGCCCGGAGGCCTTGTGAATGTTAACCTGTTTAAAGGTCTTACTCACATCGGCTACGGAGGGCGTGATCACACAGTCATCCGGAACAGATGATGCTCTCATGCATGTTTCACACAGTCAGCTGGTGCTATCACACATGGTTTAATGTTGTTTGCCTCGAAGCGAGCATAGAAGGCATTTAGCTCGTCGGGTAGGCTCGCTTTACTGGGCAGCTCTCGGCTGGGTTTCCCTTTGTAATCCGTGATAGTTTGCAAGTCCTGCCACATCCGACGAGTGTCAGAGCCGGTGTAGTAGGATTCGATCTTAGTGCTGTATTGATGCTTTGCCTGATTGATGGTTCGTCGGAGGGCATAGCAGGACTTCTTATAAGCGTCTGGATTAATGTGTCCTGCTTCTTGAAAGCAGCAGCTCTAGCCTTTAGCTCAGTGAGGATGTTGCCTGTAATCCATGGCTTCTGGTTGGGATATGTACGTACTATCACTGTGGGGACGACGTCATCAATGCACTTATTAATGAAGCCGGTGACTGATGTGGTAAAGTCCTCAATGCCATTGGATGAATCTCGGAACATATTCCAGTCTGCGCTAGCAAAACAGTCCTGTAGCTTAGCATCCGCTTCATTGGGCCACTTCCGTATTGAGCGCGTCACTGGTACTCCCTGTTTGATATTTTGCTTGTAAGCAGGAATCAAGGGGATAGAGTTATGGTCAGATTTGCCAAATGGAGGGCGAGAGAGAGCTTTGTATGTGTCTATGTGTATGGAGTAAAGGTGATCTAGAGTTTTTTTCCCCTCTAGTTGCACAAGTGACATGCTGGAAAAAATGAGGTAAAACGGATTTGTTTTCCTGCATTAAAATCACTAGGAGCACCGCCTCTGAATGAGCATTTTTTTGTATGCTTATGGCCCTATACAGCTCATTGAGTGCGGTCTTAGTGCCAGCATCAGTTTGTAGTGGTAAATAGACTTCTACGAAAAATATAGATGAAAACTCTCTTGGTATGGTCTACAGCTTATCATGAGGTATTCTAACTCAGGCGAGCAGAATTATCCATGTCCTTGATCAGCCAAGACTTCGAAAAGCATAGTATATTACAGTTCTTAGTGTCCTGTTGACAGGATAGTCTTAAACGGAGCTCGTCCAGTTTGTTCTCCAGCGATTGCAGACGGATTACCAGGACGTGTACTCCGAGCATGCGCTGACCAACTGGCAAGTGTCTTCACTGACATTTTCAATATGTCCCTGACTGAGTCTATAATACCAACATGTTTCAAGCAGACCAACATGGTCCCTGTGCCCAAGAACACTAAGATAACCTGCCTAAATGACTACCAGACCGTAGCACTCACGTCTGAAGCCATGAAGTGCTTTGAAAGGCTGGTCATGGCTCATATCAACACCATTATCCCAGAAACTCTAGACCTACTCCAATTTGCATACCGCCCCAACAGATCCACAGATGATGCAATCTCTATTACACTCCACACTGCCCTTTCCCACCTGGACAAGAGGA